TCTTTCCCTTCTTTTATAACGCTATCGACATAAGTCTTGGTAATGAATTCTCTATGAATCTCGGGGAATGTAAGAGTGAAGAACCTTCTTTCTTCGCTGTATCCACGGCTGTTGTTATAAGAAGGCTGATTACCGGTAAGCACTTTTACCTTTGATGACCATTTGACCTTCACGCCACTGAAATTATCGGCGATTTCCTCATCATCATCTATGCTGAAGAGTAATGATTGGCCGCCGCCGCTAGATTCATTGGCCTTGAGTCTCTTAGCACCGACTACGGCTTTCTCGCTAAGGTAGTTCTGGATAGCGTCATAAGCCTCGCTTCTCTTTAGGTTTTCTCCGGTGTACTCGTTGAATCTGATGTGTGCTTTGCCGGAGACCCAATCCATCAACTTCTTGCCGTATATCCCAAGGTACTGATTCTGAATGGTTAATATCTGAGTATAGAAAATCGTCAGTATCACAGTGAACACCTCTCTCATCATGTTTTTATCGCGTCCTTCTCTTTCTCCTCGGGATTTCTCTGGCTCTGTATCGGGTTTCTCGGGTTATAAAGAGGGGTTTATCGGGGTGGTTTATTGTGTTCCAAGAAACTCGAAATCTCTGTGTTGAATGGTGAAGTTGCAAGGTCAGGGGAAGAAGATAAGTTTCTGCGATGGTTCTCACCGCCGGCTGCCTTTTTTTCTTGATGGGTACTCCTTAACAACTATATATATATATATGGGAAATTTTCAAACTGCAAAGTAATATACAATAAGGCTGGTTGCAGTTAGTTTGATATGTTCAGCAATTAATTAAACTAAAGATGAGGCCATGCCCTCTTCTGTATTCTTGTCTATTATTGAAGACGACTTCAAGAGAAATAGGCATCAATTTTTTGTTACTGACGTTGGCTTGCCTTTTGGGGTTTATGCGAAGAAACACGCCTTGTCGTTTGAGCACATTAAAATAAAAATTTATTGTGCTGATGACGGTGTCATAATACAACGGTGCCATCCGATATAATTTTAAAGTTGCAAGCATTATAATATAAGGGTGCGTAGCAAAAAAAAAAAAAAAAATCTACAAAATATTATAATTTATTACTGAAATTAATTGTAAAAAAAAAGTTACCGAGACCGTGTCCATTTGATCAAATGTATATCCGTCCATTCGTATAATGCAATTCCATAATCGTATAATCCATTAATGACTCATAAAATAATTTAATCTAACTTTGTTGGGTCTCTCATTTTAATTTATTATAAGCAAATGCAAACGGAGAGCACCATTAATTAATTTGACTCATTGCTATTTTTCTTTGCTTTGTTTTTTGGGTCAACAAATAATATTTATGAATAATTGATCTTTCGTCTTCTTTTAGATATCAACTTAATATATATTTAGTACAAATTGACGCTTTTATCTATTAATTCCATTTGATATTTATTTTCTACAAATTGAAATATTTATTTAATAATTTATAAATTTAGATATTTATATTCTGGTATTTTTTAAAATTTCCGATCCTTTTTAAATATAGGGACCGACTATGATGTCATCACGCATTCGTCACGTTCGTCCAATACTAACGTGAGTGCGCAATATTTGATGTGATGCATAACAATTAAGTTCAATTAATCAATATAATGATTTAATTAAGTCAGGCCAGCGATGTCATATGGAATGTCGGCCTACGAATTACCCCTGATTCAATTTATATATTTTCATTTGTTAAGTTATAATCTTTTCGCTTCATATATAAAAACGGACTCGTGTTGAGTTATAGATTTTTCGTATTTATGATAAACATAAAGGGCAATAATGTAAATCTTTTATTTATATTTATTGTTGCGTATATACGTCACTGTGTACGTGTTACTGAATTTACGATTCCAATATTCAATTCAATTCGGCAATCCCTTGCTAATGTTCAAATACAACCTAGCACGCTAAATTGTATTTGAACATTAGTCCGTTTTTGAATATTGAAAAACGGACTCGTGTTGAATATTGAAAAAGAGTGAAAAAAGAAATCGAACATTCAGAATTGAATTGAATTGAATTGAATTGAATATTGGAATCGTAATTTCGATTTCTTTTTTCACTCTTTTTCATTTGTTTGTTAGATAATTTTTTATGTATTCAATTAAATAATATATATATATATATATATATTTAAAAAAAAAACCTTGAAATTGCTCACGGCATGTGTACTGTTGACTGGTCATAAGGGCACGCCGAAGAATATGTCTTTAGTTTTTATAGTTTTCTTCACCTAATGTCCTTGTCGGAATCTATCGAAAGAGACAAGTCAGATAACGTCATTTGTGGTCTACGTGACACTTGGGAAAAAAAAGCCCCTGTAAAATACATTTTAAATAACGAAATATCATAACAAAAGAACCAAAAAGTACGTCATGAAATTTCCCATCACAACACCATGTGATCAATTTTATGTTTTTTTTTTTCTAAATAGGAAATTTCCTGGAAATTTGCTCAAAAGAACCAAAAACCTTTCCATAGTATAAATGAAGAGCACCACAAAACCCATTTCAGAAAACTTCCCAAGAATTCAAGAAACAATCAAATCCCTACCATTTCTCCACAAAACCGATCTCAAATCACTTTTCTTGGATTCCAAGAAACAAACTAAGGAGTTCCTTGGAACACAAGAAACCTCTGCGGAAGCAGAATCAGACCGGCGAAAAGACATGTTACAAGTACTATGGAGCTTCTCTGTCATGGGAGTGACGAACTTCATGTTCTTGTGGGCGATATACAGACAGTACTTCCCTTACAATCTCCGAGTTCACATGGAGAAGTATGCTTACAAGATGATGGGTTGGGTCTCGCCTAACGTCCACGTCACGTTCCATGAATACACAGGCGAACACCTCAAGAGAAGTGGGGCTTACGTGGCGATCAGAAACTACCTTAGCCTGAATTCCACGACTCGCGCCAAGAGACTGAAGGCCAACGAGTCTAAAGACAGTAAATCCGTGGTCTTGAGCCTTGACGATCACGAAGAGATCGAGGAAGAGTTCGGCGGCGTGAAGGTTAAGTGGATTTCCAACGTAAGAACGAGGGATAATGAATCGCGGTGGGGACGTTCCTCGGACGAAAGAAGGTTCTTCACGCTTACTTTCCACAGGAATCACAGAAAAATGATCACAGAGAGTTATATCGAACACGTTCTGAGAGAGGGGAAAGCGATAGAGGTGAGGAATAGAGAGAGGAAGCTCTTCACGAACAATTCGAGCCAAGATTGGTTTTCTTGGAGGGAAAGGAAGTGGAGCAACGTCCCTTTCGAGCATCCGGCTACGTTCGATACTTTGGCTATGGATCCAGCGAAGAAGGAAGAGATCAAGAAGGATCTGATCAAGTTCAGCAGAGGGAAGGAGTATTACAAGAAGGTCGGGAAGCCATGGAAGCGCGGTTATCTACTCCACGGGCCGCCCGGGACGGGGAAATCGACTATGATCTCAGCCATGGCTAATTTCTTGGACTATGATGTTTATGATCTCGAATTAACCACCGTGAAGGACAACTCAGAGCTCAAGAGGCTGTTGCTCGACACGACGAGCAAGTCAATCATCGTGATAGAAGATATCGACTGTTCGCTTGAACTTACGGGTCAGAGAAAGAAAAAGGAGGATGATGATGATGATGAGGAAGACGAGGAAGAGAAGAAAGAGGCTGAGAGGAAGGAGAAGAGAGAAAGAGAGGCGAAACAGAACAGAGTAACGTTATCAGGGTTATTGAACGCCATTGATGGGTTATGGTCTGCATGTACAGGTGAAAAGATCATAGTGTTCACAACGAATTTTGTGGACAAGCTCGACCCGGCACTGATACGGAGAGGGAGAATGGATAACCACATACAGATGTCGTATTGTCGGTACGAAGCGTTCAGGGTGTTGGCCAAGAACTATCTGGAAATCGAGACACACGTTCTGTATGAGGAAATCAAGCGATTGCTCGAGGAAACCGACATGTCCCCTGCTGATGTGGCGGAGAATCTGATGCCGAAATCTGACGAGGAAGACGAGAACACATGCCTTAAGCGACTGGTCTTGGCTTTGGAGGAGGCAAAGGAGAAGGCGAGAGAGATGGCGGAGGAAGAAGAGAAGAAGAAAGCTCGGAAAGAAGAGAGGAAGAAGGAGAAGAAGAAGAAGGCTGAAGAAGAAGAGAAGAAGAAGAAGACTGGAGAAGAAGAAACGGTCAAGAAGAAGAACAAGGCAGAGGAGAACGGTGATGCTTCTGATCAAGAAAATGGTAATTAAGGAGGTTTGAGCCAAATTTACAAATGGCAACGTACAAATCTCTGTCTGAATATTTTGTGTTGTCGCCGACTGATGGTCTGGTTCTGTCCTTTGTTGCTCAACAAGTTGAAATATAAAAATGGGTAATTGGGCCATATGATTCGCTTGTATCTCATATCTAATATATATATTATATATGGTAAGATTTTGGGTAAATTTATAAGAATTCCTGAAATATGTGTGGAATTAAAAAAAACTGCTTATATTTTTTGCTTATTTAACAAATAAATTTCTCCAACCTAAAAAAATCGTTTCACTGAAAAACCCGAAACTTGTTAAACTTAAATCCCTTTAAATGTTGACTAAAGGTTGATTTTAATTGGCGTACGTGGCCATGCGCGTCATCATTTAGTGGGGCCATTATCCAAAATACTCTCTTTTTGCTGAAACTAGTTCTGCACATATCCTTCTCCAGATGTGACTTTGTGACCAAAATTCATGTATACATGATGGTCATATTGGTCATAGCGTTAAATTTATGGTGATTACATCACATCACTATGATCACACCTTACATATCACACTAATCATTTGGTAAAATCATAAAAAATCTAACATTGTGATCAATATGACCAGACCATACAATTATTCTGGTCACAAGGTGGTAAATGCATAAATAGTTTTAGCATAAAGTGGGTATTTTGGATATTTTGCCCATTCAGTGGCCGGCATTTAAAAAGTAAAAAAAAATACGCGTATATCATACACACATATAAGTACTTACACACATATATATATATATATATATGTTTTTTTAAAGAAAATGTTGACGTGGCAAAAATGACTGTATCATGTGTAATATACTTATTAATTGGGTTTAAAGTCAACATTAACGGAATTTAAATGAGAGTTTTTTGAATTTGTAGGTTAAGGGTAATTTAATGAAAATTTTTGAAATGTGTATTAGAATGATTATATAAATTTTTATTTAAATTGACATAACTTTCGGTGCGATGGATAAATGGGTTTGCGTGGAGTCTTCATGGAAGCTTACGATACTTGATATATATCCACTGTTTGTATATTGTTTTATTTAATATTTATTATTCTAACAGTGACAATAAATCACTCTGCCAATGGGGATTTTTTATTCATTAAAATTTAAAAATGGCATGGTCCTATTATAATATATAAAATATGACTCATGGAGCTTACAGTCCATCCACCATGACTTTCGCCACTGTCTTTCTTTATTAATTTTGCCTGGAAAAATTGCGTCACGTCGGGCAGAATCATCGAGCTTGTGCCTTACATGCTAAGTTTTTTCTTTTTTGTTTGAAATTTTCTTTCGCACGCCTTATAACGAAAGGTTTAAATCATTAATTTTGGATTATATTAATTTAATTTTATTTTGTTCTTGAATTTTAATCTTATAGACTGCTGAACGTATGATTCGAATACTACGCAAACATAATTCATCACCGATTAACCAAAGTTTTTTGTGTATATTTTTTTTTATGAGGGTTTGGTACAGTTTCGCGGCATATATTCAACCCATTAGAAATAATGAAGTTGAAGTTTTTAAATAAATCTAAAAACAAAAGTCTTTTTCGACTTTACGTATCAGTCTGGTGCTGTTGTCACCATAAAACAATAAGAAATGACCCATCGGCAATTCTTTGGTAGTTTCGCAAAGACTATTTCCATGTTCACAAAGACAACACAGTGTATGTATATATATATCTAATGATCTGGTGTCTTTTCAGAATCCGAATTCACCATCTTCTTCCTTACATAATCACTTTCCTCTCTGAGAAAATCTCCCAAATCAGTGATCAAGAAGCTTACTTGTGAGCCAAGAAACATAAACACACAAAACAGACACCCAGAAAACCAATTAAAGGGGGATGGCTTCGATGGGGGAGATGTGGATGCAAACAGGCTCTGCTCTGGCAAGCCTAATGTTCGTATACACAATATTTCAGCAGTTCTTCCCCGTCCATCTCAGAATCTACCTCGAAGCATGCGCCCACAAGCTCATCGGAATCGTGTACCCTTATATCCAGATCACGTTCCACGAGTACAGCGGCGAGTATTTCAACAGAAGCGAGGCCTACACGTCGATTCAGACGTACCTCGGCAAAGATTCCTCGGCTCGTGCCAAGAAACTCAAGGCCAACGCCGTCAAAGGGAGCAGGTCTTTGGTCCTCAGCATGGACGACTACGAGGAGATCACGGATGAGTTCAATGGCGTCAAGGTCTGGTGGCAATCGAACAAGAACCGCTCCAAGAATCAGTTGATTTCGTTTTTCCCCGACGAGACTAACGAGGGCAGGTTTTACAAGCTCACTTTCCATAGACGTGACCGGAGGCTGATCACCGAGGAGTATCTCGAGCATGTCATGAAACAAGGGAAGAAAATCGCGGTGCAGAACAGGGAGAGGAGGCTTTTCTCCAACAACCCCAGCCAGAACTGGTCGGGATGGAGACAGACCAAGTGGAGCCATGTGCCCTTTGAGCATCCCGCGAGGTTCGAAACTCTGGCCATGGAGAAGAAGAAGAAAGAAGAGATCATGGGGGATTTGACCAAGTTCAAGAACAGCAAGGACTATTACCAGAAAATCGGGAAGACGTGGAAGCGAGGGTATCTCCTCTTCGGTCCACCAGGAACAGGGAAATCAACCATGATCGCAGCCATGGCTAATTTCTTGGATTATGACGTTTACGATCTTGAACTGACAACGGTGAAGGATAACACGGAGCTGAGGAGATTACTGATCGAGACGACAGGGAAATCTATCATTGTGATCGAAGACATCGATTGTTCGCTTGATCTTACCGGTCAGAGAAGCCAGAAGAAGGAGAAAGAAGAGGAGAAAGACGAGAAGAACCCGGTCGAGAAGCAGTTGAAGAAAGAAGCTGAGAACAAAGACAGCAAAGTGACGTTATCCGGGTTACTGAACTTCATCGACGGGCTTTGGTCGGCGTGTGGAGGGGAGAAAATCATAGTGTTCACGACGAATTTCGTGGACAAGCTCGACCCGGCTTTGATCAGGAAGGGAAGAATGGACAAGCATATAGAGATGTCGTATTGCTGCTTCGAAGCGTTTGAAATGTTGGCCAAGAACTACTTGGACGTCGAGTGGCATGAACTCTACGACGAGATCAAGAGATTGCTCGGGGAAACCAAGATGACACCGGCGGACGTAGGGGAGAATCTGTTGCCGAAATCGGAAGACGAAGATGCAGAGACTTGTCTGAAGCGTTTGATAGAGGCGTTGGAGGAGGCAAAGAGGAAAGCAGAGGAGGAGGAGGAAAAGAAGAAGAAGGAAGAGAAATCGAAAGATGAAGATGTGAAGGTTGAAAATGAAAAGAAAGGAGAGAGAAGCGAAGAAAACGGCGAAAAGAAGGATTGAGCAATTCATACATAACACGACAACACAAGAAACTTGTCCTCACGCACCAAAAACAGAGATTTAAATTCAAACTTCAAAATAAAGAAAGAGGCCCATGGGCCTTGACATGTTGATAAAGATCCACAACAGCTTTTTCTATCGCTAGTTTGAATTTCCATTTACCTTTTATTTATTTAGAATTGTTTTTGGGGACTGTGATACAAATAAATGACCAGCTTGCTACTCTTGAGATTTAAAAACAAAAAAAAATACCGATATTTATGACAGATTCCACGCATTTCCATGAGAGACAAAAATAAATTGCAATTCTAAATGTAACTGTGTCATGGTTTTTATTCATTCATAGTTGTTATTATCGTTGATAACGTAGCCTTTTAATAATTCCTGATACCATAAAATATAAATAAATGAAATGACCAGCTAAGCTGATGTATGTATGCATGCTTTTTTTTTTCTCCTAAACGAGGCAATGAAATCTTAAAAGAAGTTGATTAATTTTCATATTTATTATTATGGTAAACTCATTCAACATACACGAGCGAGCCAGCTGATAATTTTTGTTTATAATATCAATAAATGAAGGAGTATTCGATTTCGTTAAACTAAGCAAGAAAGAATAATTTATACTCTCAATGTTTGTCATTAACTGTGAATGCGCTCAATGCAACTTGTAGAATCGATTAACACAATGACAAAAAATGTTATTATATTTATTATTTCATCACTTAATCCTGTAAATTATATTATTATAAATATATTTTTAATATTAAATTATTATTGTTTAAATATAGGTTTACATTGGATTGGAAACATGTAAACTAATAAAAATATAGTTTTTGATATTTTTAAAAGAGTTTTATATTTTATTTTATTTTATTATGATTAAAATTTTACATGGAAAGGGGTTTTTAGATATTTTTTATAAAAAATTGAGATTTATTTTGAGTTGTAAATAATTAAAGTTTAAACAGATCATTTTGAAAAATTGTGGGTTTTTATGGGAATTTTTCTAAAAAATTATCAACTAACGTATAGTTTGTAAAGTAAAAAAAAAAAAGTTTGCCAAATTTTCTCTTTTGTTTATTAATTTATAGTATTTTTGGGGACTGTGAGGTAACAAATGACCGGTTTGGCAATTGGTGAAAGTTTTGTATTCAAATGAGATATAATACAATACTAATACATATATACATTAGGGATCCTTCAGATCCATCAGAAGCAATAGTATTTGTTATTGTAAAGGTAAACGCATTCACATATTACTAATTAACCTATGCATTTAAATAAAGAGATACATCGAATGGGATCAGCGACAGACCCACATGTCTTCGTATTGGTGTGGGGTCCTATACCCCATATATTTAGTTAATTTTTATTTATTTATTTATAATTGTTATAAAATTTTGATAAAAAATATTTAAGGCCCCGTTTAAGTTTTTGTTTTATCCCTCTACTTTCATTCTTTTTTTTTGTAACTTATTTTTTCTTGTGGCGCTTTTTTTATCTTTATTTTCATCTATTTTTTATTTTTTTCCTCTTAATTTCCTAAAAAGATTATAAATCTAATATTAAACATAATACAAAAAATCAAGAAAAATTAAATTTAAAATATATAAAAATTACGATTTTTATCTAGTTTGTTTTATCGAAAACTATATATTTCAAATAATTATAAACAAAATTATCATAAACAAATTTTTAAAAATAAAAAATCGTATAATTTAGTAGTAAAATATAAATATTGTTTTGACAGTTTATATTATTAATTTTTTTATATTTTTTATATAATATTTTAGGGATGAAAACCGTATAGAATCGAACAATATGATATTTTCCTTAATTCGAAAGGTATTATTTTTAGAAAAATGAATTTCGTGAGACCAATTGAATTTTAAAAAAATTCGAAAACATATTTTTTAATAAAAGATCTAATTTTTTTTAATAAAAAACGAAAGTGAATCGAATCGAATATGATATAATAACCGATTGGTACATATTTTTCTAAAACTGAAAGAATCGAACCGATCTATTTCTGAACTGAATCCGAACCGCAATTTTTTCTGGGTCCGCCAATGGGATTATAAATAAAAATACGAATAAAAGTCAACTCTATGAACGGTTTTAAAGGAACAAAACGTTATCTCTAATTATATATTCGTGGGAGCCAGCCAGCCAATAAACTTGTTTATAACATCGAGGTGGCTCTATTTTAAGGAGTATTATTTAATACTCCTGAACGTTATAGTTTTTTATTTATTTATTAAAGCTCCCCCATAAATGTATGTATGTGCCAATGCCATTACGGGAAAGAGAGAGGCAAAAAAAAAAAAAAAAAAAAAAAGATGGAGGTTCAACTTATCTCATCCTCAGAAACCACTCAGCCCCAAACATTGGCCATGGACGAGGTGAAGTTTCCTTTCCACGACCATCCTTTGCACCGATCAGGCGGGTTTGGCCTTTGGTGCGAAGGTTGTTACCAACGAGGTTTCTTGGAGGATGGTTACCGTTGTACAGAGTGCTATCGTGGTTTCTTCATGCACAAGGAATGCGCCGAGTCACCGCTCGAGATCAACCACCCTTCTTATCCCCAACATCCCCTCAACCTCACCTACGTTCCAGGTAGCGAACCATGTCGGTTATGCAATGGACACGTGTCGAATGTGGGTTATGGATGTTCAACATGCGACTTCTGGCTGCACATAAGTTGTTCGAGAAACCCTCCCTCTCATCTCATCCAAAACCCGGGGGCTCACGAGCATTCGCTCTTCAAGAGAGAGATGAAGTTCACCTGTCATGTCTGTGATGATAAAGGCTTCCATTATGGCTACGCATGTAACCAATGTGAGTTTTTCTGCCACGATGAATGTGTCCACCTCTCACCAGAGATAAACCACCCTTCCCACCCAAAACACCCTCTCATACTCCTCAAGGACGGCGCACCTCTTTACTCCGATTGCAAGTGCTGCCTTTGCGGTGTTTCGTTTGTGAAGGGACGGATCTACCATTGTTCCATTTGTAACTTCAGCTTGGACCTGGACTGCGTAAAGTGCCCACCACCACCGGCTCATAAAAGCCGTAAAACACATGAGCATAGACTCTGCCTCATGCCTCGACACATCTCCTTCACTTGCAATGCTTGTGGCAAGTACGGCGATCGTAGTCCCTACGTTTGTCTTCAATGCAATTTCATTATCCATTCAAGCTGTTTCGATTTACCTCTTCTCATCAACATTAATGTCACGATCACCGCATCTCCCACACTTATCTTCTCGGTCCTGGGTTTTCCGATCATGATTGTGCGGTGTGTCACCGAAAGGTTGATTGGCCCTATGGAGGTTATACTCGTTCCTCATGCCCTTACTTTGTTGCTCATTCTGATTGTGCAACAACGCCAAATGTGTGGGACGGGAGAGAACTCATGGGGAAACCTGAAGAAATCGAAGATATGGAGCCGTTCAAAGTGATAGATGATAACTTGATAAACCATTTCACTCTCGAAGAACACAACCTCAGGCTCAACAACAAGGATGACATTGTTAGCGATGAAAGCATAATGCAGTGCAGAGCATGCATTCGTCCTGTATATTCCGATCCGTTCTACGGTTGCACGCAATGCGATTATGTTCTTCACGAAACATGCGCCAATCTTCCTCGTACAAAGCGACATCCGCTCTTCTCCGAGAAACTTACTCTAGCCGGCGGTGCCAAGTACTTCCAAGATTCTTTCCAATGTGATGCTTGTAAGGGATACTCCACGGGTTTCAGGTACTGCACGAGGAGTTACGAAGTAGTAGATATACAGTGCATCTCCATTTCAGAACCGTTAAACCACAATAGTCATCCCCATCCCTTGTACTACTTTGATGAATACTACAACAAAAGACAGTATTGTGAGGCTTGTGACATATCATGTTTGAAAGGCTTCAGATGCATTAGCGAGGAATGTGAATTCGCTTTGCACTATGGATGTGCAGTGTTGCCGAAGATGGTAGAGAAACACAAGGCAGATGATCATCCACTCTTCCAATGCTACGGGGAAAATGCAAAGGGTCGATACTGGTGTGATATATGTGAGAAAGAAGTAGATCCAAAGAGATGGTTCTACACTTGTGATCATTGCTGCACCACTCTGCATATCAGGTGTGTTCTTGGAAACTTCTTCTCAGGTCACGCGTCGGGAAGCGTATTAACACACGTGGATTTCAGAGATATTGAACAGGAACGCGAATTCCAAGTGGTCGCCAACAATGGCATATTTCGACCTTTCTGCCATGTGTGTGGATCTCGTTGCATGGCCTCCTTGATTCTAAAGACACCTGACGACACTAGCCGGTTCATCTGTTCTTTTGGCTGTCTTCATCGCTTTCGTCGTCCTGTTAGGAAGTAATTAATTTCCAAACATGTGCATTTTGTGCATAAGCTTCAGTGCTTCCGGGCAAAACCCATTATCACAGCCTTCCAAGAAGCCAGGCATACTGTCAAAAAACTCGAAATAGCTTCTGTCACAAATCCACATTTTGCATACATGTGAATCAAAGAACTCTAGGGCTCCCAAGCTTAAACGGCCGGAGATCATGGCCGTCCATGACACCACATCTCTAGAGGGCATATGGTGAAGGACATTGAATGCCTTAATTGTTATATTCGCCACATTTACAATATAGCCAGACCAAAGTGCTGCCGATATGGACATTCTTTTCCGTTGAATTCTTGATGATCTGAGCATGGAGTTCTTTTCCCAACAACAAAGCTCCATTCAGGAGCCACATGCCCTAAGGATCAAATTCCACCTCTTCCTCTTCATCGCCCACCTCCTCACGAGCATGTAACCGTGTTTCTATTCCTCATGGCATCAAACACTTTTCTACAATCTGAAATCTCCCCGCAATTTCCCATACACATCCATTAGAGAAGTTCCAACGAAAACATCCTCCTTGATCACCACGCTGTTATCGCCTTCCTTCAAAAATACTGCAAACTGTAGGCAAAAAACCATGATTTAACATCTGGAAAAACACAAAAATGGCTTCTTTTCCACGCCCTTTCCTTGAGCAAGCCGAAATAACCGCCGTCCAGGAAATCACATCCTTCTCCTTCACCATATCAAACGCGCGTAGAGATAAACAAGAGCACTATCTACAATAAGACTCCCCACTTGACCTTTCACCAAATGGGCATGTCCCTAGCTCAAATTCTGATCTCCTACTGCACAAATTCGAGAGACATACAAACATCTCTCGTTCGTAAAACGGATACCCTTCTTCACGAATGTACCAAACAGTGAAAAAGCCTCGTTTCCAAGACCATCGCTTCCTCATTGCGGTCCAAGATATTCCTTTACAGATAAACTCAAATATGGATTCCATGAAATTGGTAGGTTGAATTACGGCTTACATATGAAATTAACATGATCAATTCGTTCAAACAGGGTAGCTGAGAATGTTACAGATTAAACATTTAAAAGCAGCAGTTTTAGCCCTAATTGCTCCAGCTGCTCCACCGCCATGAGTTCATCTTCATCCCTCCCCTACCCATTTCACCAAAAACCCAAGAATTACACTAACAGGCAAGAAAAAAAAGGAACTAAACTTTCCAGAAGAATTCAGAAACCCTATATGCATTATAGCTCCTTCAGAAGCAATACTATTGGCTCATCTGTTCTTCCGATTGTTTTCGTCGCATTTGCTAGCTTTGCACGTTGTCAGAGTTGTTTTCCCCCCGAGAAAGGAAAGGATCCACGGCCACGATTTTTCATTATATTAATCAGCTTGTTCGGATTTTCAGACTTGTAAAATATGCTGAATTCGCGTGCGAGTATTTTATTAAAAGATTGGAATAATGGGAATTGAATATTTTCTTGAGAAATGTGGGTACATTTTCTTGAGGCATTTAGTTGAATATTTAATGCTAGAAAAAAAAAAAACACAGCAAAGTTCTTTGAAAAGAACATACATCAATAGTTGTTTTGTATTTTTTTTTATAAATATTGTAATATTCTCATGTCTAATCTATATCTCTTGTGCGAGCCAGCCAATAAAACTGTTTATATTTTTTGGGAACCAGCTAATAAATTTGTTTGTATTATTTAATACTCCTATCATTGTTCCGTTTGTATTAAAGTGCCCACCACCACTTACTCATAAAAGCCCTAAAAGACACGAGCATAAACTCACCCTCCTGCCCCGACACATCTCCTCTACTTGCGATGCTTGTGACAAGATTGGCGATCGGAGTCCTTATGTTATGTTTGTCTTCAGTGTAATTTCATGATCCATAGGAGCTGTTTCGATTTACCTCTTCTCATCAACATCAATCGTCACGATCACTGCATCTTTCGAACTGATTGTCCCACCATGATTGTATGGTGTGTCACCGAAAGGTTGATTGGCCCTATAGAGGTTATACTTGAAAGTCATGCCCTAACTTCGTTGCTCATACTGATTGTGCAACGACGCGGAGTGTGTGGGACAGGAGAGAACTCATAAGGAAACCTGAAGAGATCGAGCCTCCGTTCCGAGTGATAGACGACAACTTGTTAAACCACTTTACGCACGAAGAACACAACCTCAAGCTCAACAAGGATGGCATTGCCTGCGAGGAAGGCATAATAGAGTGCAATGCATGCGTCCGTCCTGTATATTTCGATCCGTTCTACGGTTGCACGCAATGCGACTACCTTCTTCATAAAACATGCACCAATCTTCTTCGTACAAAGCGACATCCGCTTTTCACCGAGAAACTTACTCTAGTCGGCGACACCCGTTCTTCTTCTTCCAAGTTTCTTTCGAATGTTATGCTTGTGAACGACGCTCCACCGTTTTCAGATACCAAATGTGGAAGTACGCAGTAGATGTAGATGGCATACATCTTGACGATACATATGGTTAGAATGGCAGAAATATGTGGAAAATACAAACCTAAATGAGGCTCGGCACATTCGAGCCTGCAACTTCTAATTTGAGCGAAAAAGAACGTCTATAGGAGTTGCAAGCCGAGACATACTCTCTAAAAGAATGCCTAGAAACTAGAAAGTGAATCATCATCGTTCGAGCAAAACAACAGCACATGCTGTTTCAGCCAAATCATGAGGGCAAGATCAAGCCCATCAAAGTTATCATGCAAAATTACAACAAAAGGGACTCTACAAGCTCTAAAATCATATGAATTCTCGGTCTGACAGACAAATTACCCCTGCAAGTTCAGCCAAAACGGGATCATTGACTTTGAGAGTGAATAACCTTGGAAGCATCAGTATAAGCGTAGTATATTTATTATGAAATATACGATATTTAGTCTAGGTTTCCTAGTATATATATTGTTATATACATTACAGAGAATAATACACAGAAATCTTATTGTTATATGTTCAAATGGGTTCTTCCTATAGAATATAACCTGCTGGCTACTTCCAGTAGCAACAAGAAGATAGGTCGCTTCAACGTATTCAGGAGCATCCGCTCCGCGATTCTCAACTTTGAGAAGGAACTTTCCGTCGTCTCTAACGGACTCTCCAGGCGAACTGCAATGAGCATTAATGAATGAACCATGGTTAAGATTATGGAAAAATACATATATCCGAGCTCCATGTGATCCAGCAGAGAGATACATACCTCCCCTAACCCTTGCTTCAGACAAGAGGCAATCGACTATGGAAGATGAATTATCGCTCACGGGAAATACTCTCCCATCTTCTTCAGTCTGAGGGAGACGAAAATCAGGGAAAATATGCCAATTCAAAAAGGAATTTTGATCTGAAAAACCCAACCTTCAGGGGAACTCCATGCTCAGAAAACCAGGACATGGAATCAGCAGGACCATCTGTGTTGAAGAAAGAACCTTTGAGCTCTTTAATACCTTGGAGAGGGTAATTCTCTGCAAGAGTGATCAACGAACTAGAAAAGAATCAAGGGAAATCCAGTTGAATCAATCAACTCCAGGGTGCAGAGGCATATGATAAGTTTAAAGTTTCAATCTTTTTCGTTTTCCGTTCTTAAAACTGCTCACCACATTGTCATTGAAATGCCCATTGGTCACATTGCACCGTCCACCACCGGAAATCTTCACCCGCAGACAAATAATAGTATTGGGAATTATTACACAAACATGAACAAAACCAAAGATTCACAAAGCCTAACCTCTGAAAGAAATTTCCCTTTCTCAATGACCAAAACATTTAAAGGAGGAGCAACAGATTTAGCCCTAATTGCTCCATAAACTCCAGCTGCTCCACCACCAAGAGCTCATCTTCTTCATCCCTCCCCTACCCATTTCACCAAAACCCCAAGAATTGCACAGACAAGATTCCAAGAAAGAGAGAATTGAAAAAGTTCAGAACCAATACTCTCCTTCTGGGTCGCTCCATTCGCTCTGGTGCTACATGCGGTTTTCAGAGAAACCCAAGGAGAAATCGATAAGTTCGAGCGCGTTAGATGGAGATGCCTCACAAGTGCAGATAGGTTGCGTCGCGTTTCAATTGTAGCGGAAAAAGATAGCCACCAAAGAAGCCTTAGAGGAGAGGGAAGGGGACATTCGAAACGGTGTCCGAGGCCGATGGGCCTCGACATATGTTGATAAAGATCCATAACAGCTTAAAACTCCATTTCCATTTTCATTATAAAAAAAAAAAAAGACGCGACCCTTTTATTTATTTATAGTGTTTTTGGGGACTGTGATATGACAATAAATGACCAGCTTGCCAATTGTTTTTGGAGTATTTGTTATTATGGCAACGATTAATTACCCAGTTGCATTTAAATAAAGAGATGCATCGAATGGGATTATAAAGAAAAATACGAATAAAAGTCAACACTCTGAACTGTTTTAAAGGGACAAAAAGTTATCTCATTGTATATTCGAGCCAATTTTGTTTATATTTTTGGGAGCCAGCTAATGAGAGTGGTTATAATAGGGAGGTGGCCATATTTTAAGGACACTCCGAGTATTATTCAATACTCCTAAACATTATAAAAACATTATAGTTTTACTAAAACCGAAAGAAGCTCCCCCACAAATCATACCATTACGGAAAGGAGAGATCTGCAAAAATCTAAAGATACGGAGGTTCAACATATGCCATCCTCAGAAGCAATTCAGTCCCAAGCGTCGGCCATGGACGAGATAGAGTTTTCTTTCCACGACCATCCTTTGCACCGTTCAGGCGCGTTTTCTATTTGGTGCGACGGATGTTCTCAACCAGGTTACTCCTCGGACGGCTACCGTTGTTCAGAGTGCTATCGAGATTTCTTCATGCATCAGAAATGCGCCGAGTCACCTCTTGTGATCGACCACTCTTCTCACCACCAACACCCCCTTAACCTCTCCTGCGTTCCGGCTAGCAAACCATGTCATTTATGCGATGGACACGTGTCGGATGTGGGTTATGGGTGTTCAGCATGTGACTTGTGGTTGCACATAAGTTGTTCCAGAAACCCACCCTCTCATGTTATCGAAAACCCGAAGGCTCACGAGCATTCACTCACCCTCTTCCTCATGCCGAATGAGATAGAGCTGTTCATCTGCCACATATGTGGTTATTGTTGCTTCCATTCTGCCTACGTATGTAGCCAATGTGAGTTTTTCTTCCACGTCAATTGTGTCAACCTCTCACCAGAAATAAAACACCCTTCCCACCCTTCCCACCCTCTCCAACTCCTCATGGACGGCGCCCCTCGTTACTCCGATGGCAAGTGTTGCCTTTGCGGTGACGAGTTTGAGAAAGGACGGCTCTATCATTGTTCCCTCTGTAACTACAGCTTGAATCTGGACTGCGTAAAGTGCCCGCCACCGCTGACTCATAAGAGCCCTAAAACCCACGAGCACAAACTCACCCTCATTCCCCGACACCTCTCCTTCACCTGCAATGCTTGCGGGAAGAACGGCGATCGAAGTCCCTATGTTTGTCTTCAATGCAATTTCATGATCCATAGAAAGTGTTTCGATTTACCTCTTCTCATCAATATTAATCGTCATGATCACCGTATCTCTCGCACTTACCTTCTTGGTCTAAAGTTTTTCGACCATGATTGCGCGGTGTGTCACCGAAAGGTTGATTGGCCCTATGGAGGTTATATTTGCTCCTCATGCCCTAACTTCGTTGCTCATCCCGATTGTTCAACGACACCAAGTGTGTGGGACGGGAAAGAACTCATAGGAACCCCCGAAGAAATAGAAGATATGGAGCCGCCGTTCAAAGTGATAGACGACAGCTTGATAAACCATTTTACTCACGAGGAACACAACCTCAGGCTCAACAACAAGGATGACATCGCTTGCGATGAAAGAATTATAGAATGCAAAGCATGCATTCGTCCTGTGTATTCCGATCCGTTCTACAGTTGTACTCAATGCAACTATATTCTTCACGAAACATGCGCCAATCTTCCTCGGACAAAGCGACATCCGCTGTTTGCTGAGAAGCTTACTCTGGTGGGCGGTTCTACGTACTTGCAAGATTCTTTCACTTGTCATGCTTGTGACCGACGTTCCACGGGTTTCAGGTACTGTGTACGGAAATTGGATTACGCAGTAGACGTACAGTGCATCTCCATTTCGGAACCGTTAAACCACGATAGTCATCCCCATCCCTTATACTTTGTTGACCGTTGTAGAGGGAATTGCGAAGCTTGCGGCAAATTGGGTTATTTAGGCTTCAGATGCATTAGGGAGGAATGTGAATACTTTCTGCACTACGGATGTGCAGTGTTGCCGAAGATGGTAGAGAAACACAAGGCAGATGATCATCCACTCTTCCAATGCTACGGGGAAGATATAGATGCAACCGGGCGATATTGGTGCGATATATGCGAGAGAGAAGTGGATCCAAAGAGATGGTTCTACACGTGCGACCGTTGTTGTACCACTTTCCACATAGATTGCGTGCTTGGAGACCTTTTCATGGGTCACGCGGCGGGAAGCATGTTCACGACCAAAGCATTCGATATTGTAGCACCGAATCGACAAGTCCAAGTGGTAGCAAACAATGGCATATGTCGACCCTACTGCGACGTGTGTAAATCTCGTTGCAAAGCCTCCTTGATTCTGAAGACACGTGACGACGCTGGTCTGTTCATCTGTTCTTCTCCTTGTCTTCGTCACTTTATTCCTCCGGTTGGGGTTGGTGAAAAGGCCCAATTGATCCCCAGCGGATTAATTGAGGAATGGTTCACATGATGGACACATGAAAAATCGAAGGAGAGCGAATCTGCAATTCAATCAAAAACACATTGTTTTCTGCAGAGCATGATGCTCTTGATCTTTCTCTGATTCACATCTCTGTCAGCATCTCCTCCTTGAATTCTTTCAGGGACGTATCCAATTTCCCAGCTTCTGCATTTGATAGCTTTGCCAGCTGTTCAAAATTTTCAGATTTTTAAAAGATGATCGTTTCCACATATACTCGAACGTAAACATCGTCCTTGGATCTGATTCTTGATTCACAGATCCAATTTCCGATTCCCGGGTTTATTTGCCCAGCCCTGGTCCCAAACACTCCATCTATGTGTTAGTACCTGAAAACGTATGATGTTGCATGTGTATATATATACATACACGATGGCATGTCAATCTCTGAAAATGGTGGGTTTTTTATTTTTTAAGGTTTGGGATATTTAATGAGTACCTTTCCAGTGACTTGAAATGCACAATGTCTTAGCAGCCGGGAAATGGAGCTCAATGAGTCATTTGACAACGACGCCCACACGGTATCTCCGTCAGGACCCTGAATATGCCGAGAAATACACGTTGAAAGAAGCTTTTGAATGCATGGAGTTGATGGAAAAACGATCGCGGTATAGTATAAATCTCCACAAGCCTTTTAATCAAATAAATGGGAAGAAAGAGGCGAAAAAGGTGTTGGCGGATAACGGATTTCGCATCTTCAATGTTGAAATCGGGTATGAAGTCCACAATAAGCAGCCCTGCATCCAAACAGTAAGAACGGCAAAAGTATGAGGAAAATAGCCACCTGCGTGAGGCTCGGCATATTCGAGCCTGCAACTTCTAATGGTCTCTTCTTCAGAGTATATAACCTGCTGGCTACTTCCAGTGGCAACTAGAAGATAGGACGCTTCTATTCAGGAGCATCAGCTCCACGATTCTCAACTTTGAGAAGGAACTCTCCGTCTCTCTAATGGAGGCAGCTGATACAGCTTTTCCACTCTCCAGGCGAACTGCGAAGAGCATTGGATGAACCATGGTTAAGATTATGGAAAAATACATATCCGAGCTCCATGTGATCCAGCAGAGAGATACATACCTCCCCTAACCCTTGCTTCAGACAAGAGGCAATCGACTATGGAAGATGAATTATCGCTCACGGGAAATACTCTCCCATCTTCTTCAATCTGAGGGAGACGAAAATCAGGGAAAATATGACAATTCAAAAAGGAATTTTGATCTGAATAATATCAATCACATGTTACAAAAACCCAACCTTCAGGGGAACTCCATGCTATCAGCCGGACCATGTGTGTTGAAGAAAGAACCTCTGAGCTCTTTATTACCTCGAGGGTAATTCTCTGCCATTCTCTACAATCAGAATTCGATATAAAGCAAAAGTTACCGACGAACTAGACAAGAATCCTGGGAAATCCAGTTGAATCAATCAACTCCGTGGTGAAGAGGCATATGGTAAACTTAAAGTTTCAAGCTTTTTTTCTTTTTCGTTCTTAAAACTGCTCACCCCATTGTCATTGAAATGCCCATTGGTCACATTGCACCGACCACCGCCGGAAATCTTCACCTGTAGACAAATAATTGTATTGGGAAATTATTGCATAAACATGAACAAAACCAAAGATTCACAAAGACTAACCTTTGACAGAAATTTCCCTTTCTCAATGACCAAGGAGCAACAGATTTAGCCCTAATTGCTCCATAAACTCCAGCTGCTCCACCACCAAGAGTTCATCTTCGTCATCCCTCCCCTACCCATTTCACCGAAACCCCAAGAGTTACAGAAACAAGATTCCAAGAAAGAGAGAATTCAGGAACCCTATGCCCCGGTGAATCTGGTTATGTCAGTGATAGCCAATACTCTCCTTCTGGGTCGCTCCATTCGTGCTGGGGCTACAACGCAAGAAACTTGTCCTCGCACCAACAGTAGCTACTCCCTCGCCGATTTAAATTCAAACTTCAAAATAAAGAAAACCAAGATGAAGACCCAAGAGGCCCATGGGCCCCGACACATCCATAACGGCTTAAAACTCCATTTTCATTTCCATTAAAAAAGAAAAAGAAAAAGACGCGACCCTTTTATTTATTTATTTATAATTGTTTTCGGGGACTGTGATATATTTAATAAAAAACTCCTCTCGCATATAAAAAAAAGACCGATGAATAAAATACTCTTGAAAGACGTCCATGAGACACGGATTTGGAGACAAAAATAAATTGCAAATGTAACTGTGTCATGGTTTTTATTTATTGATGGTTGTTATAATCGTTGACAACGTAGTCTTTTAATAATTTCCGATACCATGAAATATAAATAAATGAAATGGCCAGCTAAGTTATCCTTTTTCTAAACGAGGCAGTGAAAACTTAAGAGAAGTTGACTAATTTTCATATAAATTAATTATCTACTCTCGAGTGGGAAAATAAAAAAAAAATATATAAATAATGATAAGAGTCTGGGCTGTTTTGAAAAGTAAACAGCAGCATAATTTATACGGCGAGCCAACTAATATTTTGTGTTTATAATATCAATTAATGAAGGAGTATTCAATTTGGTTAAACTAAGCAAGAGAGAATAATTTATACTCGTCATTAATTGTGAATGCGCTCAATGCCACTTGTAGACTCGATTAACACAATGACTAAAAAAAAGTTACTACTCCTGTAAATTATATTATTATAAATATATTTGTACCATTAAATTATTATTGTTTTAAATAGAGTTTTACATTACTCGTACGATAAAGAATACAAGACTGAGTAAAGCAACGGTCTCAATTACACAAGTTACTATATTGTTTTAAAACCTTAATATTTTCTGGATTTTTTGGAAAATTTTTAAAAGGCTTCAGAACTCAAACAACTAATTTCCTTTTTCGATGCATAATTAGTTCGATTAGAAAAATTATAAATCAATAACTTAACCATTTTTTCAATTTTTATTTTGTTTATCTTTTGAATTTTTAGATAAATAAATACTCAAACTTCACATTTTTTTAACCTTCAATCCCATTTTTTGAAAGCTTTTGACGCCCTTGTTTCCATTTAGTTTCACAATTTCGTAGTAATGAACGTGAAAAATGAATTAGAGTAAATAAAGAAACATTCACAAGGCCGTCCATGTGTGTTTAAAACCTTAATTTTAATCTAAATTGCATTTCTTCCGGAATTTATATGTATGTATGTGTGTGTATATGTCTCTGTGTTGTTGGGTCATATTTAAAATGTTGTCTGCAAACTGCATTTTTGGTTTATGTATGTATGTGTAAATACACTTTTTCCAAAACGAGGCATTTCTAATTCCGTAAAATATAATAGAGAAAATTATAAAAAAAATACTACAAATTAAGATAAGAGTCAGAGCTGTGAGCTGTTTCGAAAAGGAAACAGCGGGCATTTAATGATATTTTGAGATGAATTTGGTTAAATTAAATAAAAAAATAAAAATTATATTTTAAATGAAAAAAGGGATGGGTGACATGAGTGAGATGTGTGTTGTATACACCATATGTCGGGCATTAGCATCAAGAGAGAGATCTGCTTTCTTCTTCCTTTTTTTTTAAGAGTTTAAAATCTAAAGATATGGAGGTTCCTCGGTTCCAAGCATGGGCCGTGGAAGAGGTGAATTTCCCCTTCCACGAACATCCTTTGCACCGTTCGGGCGGGTATGGGCTCAAGTGCCACGGATGCCGTCAACCAGGTTACACGGAGGACGGCTACCGCTGTTCAGAGTGCTATGGAAAATTCTTCATACACAAGGAGTGTGCGGAGTCGCCTCTTGAGATCAACCACTCTTGTCATCCCCAACATCCTCTCAACCTCGTCGGCTTTCTGGATTTCAATCAATGCCATTTATGCCATGGAGACGTGTGGACTGTGGGCTATAGATGCTCTACGTGTGACTTGTGGCTGCACACAAGTTGTTCAAGAATCCCAACCTCTCATACTATCCAAAAGCCGGAGGCTCACGAGCATTCGCTCACCCTCCTCATGGAGGTAGGGAAGACGAGGTTCACCTGTCATGTGTGTGGTCTGCGTTGGGATGGCAATTATTACCGCTATGCATGTAAACAACGCGACTTTTTCTGCCACATCAAATGTGTCAGCCTCTCACCAGAGATAAATCACCTTTCCCACCCTTCCCACCCTCTCCAACTCCTCAAGGACGGCGCACCTCTTTACTCTGATGGCAAGTGCTGCCTTTGCGGTAAAGCGTCTGAAGAAGGACGGTTCTATCATTGTTCCGCCTGCAACTACAGCTTGGATCTGGACTGCGTAAGGAATCCGCCGCCACTGACTCATATAAGCCCTAAAACCCATGAGCATGAACTCACCCTCATTCCCCGACACCTCTCCTTCACCTGCAATGCATGCGGGAAGCAGGGCGATCGGAATCCCTATGTCTGTCTTCAATGCAATTTCATGATCCACAGAAGTTGTTTCGAGTTACCTCTTCTCATCAACATCAATCGTCACGATCACCGCATCTCGCGCACCTATCTTCTTGGTCTTGGGTTTTCCCGTCATGATTGCGCAGTGTGTCATAAAAAGGTCGATTGGCCCTACGGAGGCTATATTTGTAATTGTAAGTCATGCCCTGACTTTATTGTTCATGCCGATTGTGCAACTCGACAGGATGTGTGGGACGGGAGAGAACTCATAGGAAAACCTGAAGAGACCGAAGATATCGAACCTCCATTCCGAGTGATAGACGACAACCTGATAAACCATTTCACTCACGAAGAACACAACCTCAGTCTCAACAACAAGGCCCGCGAGGAAGGAATGATAGAGTGCAAAGCATGCATTCGTCCTGTATATTCTGACCCGTTCTACGGTTGCATGCAATGCGATTACGTTCTTCACCAAACATGCGCCAATCTTCCTCGGACAAAGCGACATCCGCTCAGTGCCGATAAACTTACTCTGGTGGGCGGTGCCACATACTTTCAAGATTCTTTCCAATGTTATGCTTGTTTGCGACACTCCACTGGTTTCAGGTACCGTATGAGGCATACACCGTGGTATGATGGAATGATAGATGTAGAATGCATTTCCATTACGGAACCCTTAAAACATGATAGTCATCCCCATCCCTTATACTACTATGATAAAAAATACAAAGGGAGACAGTATTGTGAGGCTTGCGGCGGATATTGTCATAGAGGCTTCAGATGCATTAGGGATGATTGTGAATTCTATCTGGACTACGGCTGCGCAGTGTTGCCGAAGATGGTGGAGAAACACAAGGTAGACGATCATTCACTCTTCCAATGCTACGGAGAAAATGCAAAGGGTGAATATTGGTGCGATATATGCGAGGAAAAAGTAGATCCAAAGAGATGGTTCTACACGTGCGATCATTGTTCCACCACTCTGCACATCAATTGCGTGCTTGGAGACATGTTCTCGGGTCACGCCGCGGGAAGCGTATTCACATACCTTGAACGAGAATTCCAAGTGGTGGCAAACAATGGCATCTCTCGACCTTACTGTCACGTGTGTAAATCTCGTTGCAAGGCCTCCTTGATTCTGAAGACACATGACGGCACTGGTCTGTTCATCTGTTCATATACTTGTTTTCACAAGTTTATGTTCACCTAAACATTTGAACCGATTGGTTATGTTTCTATTCAATGTTTAGATAATTCGTTTGGGGTCAAATTTATATCTTGTTAGAACTCATTGGTTACATTATATAAACTCACAAAGTCAGAGGTTTTGGCATTCAACTAAGCTTACTGTTATTAAATATCCATTTATGTTTGTTATAAACTTATATTATTCAACGCTGAATTAAATGAAAATGTGGCATACAATTACAATTACATCCACATGTGAAAATTTCACCCCACGAAAACATTGCTGGTCGTCGCTAACTCACCTATGCGGGTTCCAGCAATATATCCACCGGACCAAGCATTCTGTACAACAACATGATTTCATATTTTTTCTTATATATATATATATATGGTCCAATTAACTAGAAATGTAACTAATTCACCTGGAAATTGAAGCCCCCAGTTACTCCATCTATGTTTAGTACCTGAAAACCCATGCACCAAACATATGATGTTGCATGTATATACGTACGTGATGATGCTCGTGTAGTACGTGTGTATATATTATAAACGCCGATGATGTATATCAGAAACAAAGATACCATATGCATGTGTGAATGCAAGGCGCATGTGCAGATGTGAATCGAGCAGCATAGACATATATATCTACACATGTGTATACACACATGCATTCACCCATGTATGCAGTGATGCATAAACATGCTAACAAGTCATACCTCTCCTGCAAAGAAAAGGTTGGGAACCAACTTGCTCTCCATCGTCTTCAAAGAGATCTTGAAACAGAGAGAGTAACTCAAAGTCAGATTCCAGGTCAGGACAGGAAAACAGAGCATCAAAACCGATCGAAATAGATATGCTCCATCTCATAAGGTACCTCGGGCAACGGTACTCCCCCAGCTGTTACAAACTCATCTTTGTATTGACCCTTTAAAGGAGAAACTCATCACCATCTTCATGAACGGCATGACAATCTCTGAAAATGGTGGTTTCAAGCAGGTTTTTTTAGGGGTTTAGGATATTTGATGAGTACCTTTCCAGTGACTTTAAATGCACAATGTTTTAGCAGCCGCGAAATGGAGCTCGACGAGTTATTTGACAACGCTGCCCCGCACGATATCTCCGTCAGAACCCTGAATATCCCAACAAATCAAAGAATACGCGCAAAAAGAATTTTTTGAATGCATGGAATCGATGAAAGAAAATTCGAGAAAATCTCGTTGAAACCTCTCGAGATAGTACATATCTCCAGAACCTCTTCACCAGACCCAACTGTGGAGGATATGAGTTGCAAACCTTTTGCTTCTGCATCAAAGAATGCTCAAACCATTTTAACCAGATAAATGAGAAGAAAGAAAGAAAGCGGCAACAAAAGTGTCGGCTGTTACTGGAAACCGCTGCTTGTGTTGACGGATAACGGATTTCACATCTTCCATGTTGAAATCGGGTATGAAGTCCACAATAAGCAGCCCTGTAGCCAAACAGTATCAACCTGATCAGAGTTTTGAAGTATCAAACATTAATTTCTTGGCAAACAAAAATTGGCGATGAAGACTTCTTTCCATGGGTAAGAGATTATCACCTTTGTAATCTGCACTGAAGAGATATCGGGCCCCCCACGCGGACAGACAAAGAATAACAGGTCCACTAAGTCCCCAATGCGTAATTAGCATCGGACCGACCTAGAAAGAAAGCAAATCCTTCACATATAAAACATACATCTGGACCATACATACGGTAATAAGAATGGCAGAAGTATGTAGAAAATGAGAAGAAAAGGCAAATACATGCCTGCGTGAGGCTCGGCACATTCGAGCCTGCAACTTCTAATTTGAGCTTGGCTTGGACTTTAGAGAAACTAACCTACGAAAAGAGACAAAAATAACTTCAATAAGAGTTGCAAGCCGAGACAGACTATCTAAAGCAATGCCTAGAAAGTGAAGCATCATCGTTCGAGTAAAACCAACAGCAAATCCTGTTTAGCCAGATTATGATAGCAAGATCAAGCCCATCAACATGCAAAATTACAGCAAAAGGAACTCTAGAAGCTTTAAAACTATATGAATTCTCGATCTGCACAGACAAATTACCCCTTCTAGTTCAGCCAAAAGGGGGTCATTGACTTTGAAAGTGAATAAGCTCGGCACAGGGTCTACGATGGAATGACCAAGGTGAGCAGCCAAAGAGTAACCCTGTCACACGATAAACCTTGAAAGCATCGGTATACATTACAGAGAATAATAGACAAAAATCTGTTCCTCTATAATGAGAACCCTCAAGATGAAACAGTCGAAATAATAATATGTTCAAATGGTTTCTTCCTTGGAGTATATAACCTGCTGGCTACTTCCAGTAGCAACAAGAAGATAGGTCGTTTCAACGTATTCAGGAGCATCAGCTCCACGATTCAAAACTTTGAGAAGGAACTTTCCGTCATCTCTAACGGAGGCAGCTGATACAGCTTTTCCACTCTCCAGGCTAACTGCGATGAGCATTGAATGAGTCATGGTTAAGTGTATGGAAAAATACATATCCGAGCTCCATGTGAATCAGCAGAGGGATACATACCTCCCCTAACCCTTGCTTCAGACAAGAGGCAATCGACTATGGAAGATGAATTATCGCTCATGGGAAATACTCTCCCGTCTTCTTCAATCTGAGGGAGACGAAATTCAGGGAAAATATGCCGATTCAAAAAGGAATTTTGATCTGAATAATATATATAAAATGTTACAAAAAACCAACCTTCAGGGGGACTCCATGCTCAGAAAACCAGGACATGGTATAAGCTGGACCATGTGTGTTGAAGAAAGAACCTCTGAGCTCTTTAGTACCTCGAGGGTAATTCTCTGCCATTCTCTACAGTCAGAATTCGATATAATGCAAAAGGTACGAAGGAGTTGAATCAATCGACTCCATGGTGTGTTAGTAAACTGGAGGAAAAACAACGGAAAAACGAGAATGAAATCGAAACCGAGGGATCGGATATCTCTTCAAGACGTGTAGACACTTTCCTAAAACCGTTATTCCGTCCGTTACGAGCAAGGACTACCAGAATACGATTCTGAGATACAATGAAGAGAAATACGTTCTAGAATTGCTCGTTCAAGAACGCACACACAAGGAAATGTGAAAACGAAGATGAACAAAAGCTTTCGGGAGAGTTTTTGCAAGAAACTTTCGAAAGTGCTCTCAAAATCTCTCAAATTTGGAATTTAATTCGTACCAAACTTATTCTGACGTCTTTAGTATATAAACACCAAAGAACATCACCAAAAGTTGCAAAATCTGCAGTTTTCACGCGAAGAATCGCATCAGTTCGTGTTTCTACAAACTGACACGGTCCGAGTTACTTCTGACTCGGGCCGAGTTACTTCTGACACGGTCCGAGTTACTTCTGACTCGGGCGAGTTAACTTTCTGATTAAAACACGAATTTCTCACAGACTTGTGACTCGGTCCGACTTACAACTGACTCGGACTGAGGTACTACTGACGCGGACCGAGTTATTCCAATACGGACCGTGTCAGATTTCTATGCAAAACGAGTTTTTTATTCAGAAAAGTAACACGGGCCGTGTCAAGTTTAACACGGACCGCGTTACATTTCTGTAAAAGAAAATCCGTTTTAGTCATGTAGACTGAGTTCTACTTCACTCGGATTGAGGTATATCTCACTCACGAGCCGATCAACTTTACTGCCAAACACATATGTGTTTTACCGATCCATATTATATCATTTACGGATATTTAACTCCACCATATCCGTAATACATATAACTATGAATCTCTTGAGAGATTATTATTAAACCTCATTCATTTACTCTAAAAATTACAACATGGTGCAGGGGCATATGATAAGTTTAAAGAAAGAGGCAACAAAAGTGTCGGCTGTTACTGGAAACTGCTGCTTGTGTTGGCGGATAACGGATTTCACATCTTCCACGTTGAAATCGGGTATGAAGTCCACAATAAGCAGCCCTGCAGCCAAATAGTATCAACCTGGTCCAAGTTTTGAAGAATCAAAGATTAATTTCTTGGATAAACAAAAATTGGCGATGACGAGTTCTTTCCGCGGGTAAGAGATTATCACCTTTGTAATCTGCATTGAAGAGATATCGGCCCCCCACGCAGAGAGACGAAGAATAACAGGTCCACTCAGTCCCCAAGGCGTAATTAGCATCGGACCAACCTAGAAAGAATGCATATCCTTCACATATAGAACATACATCTGGACGATACATACGGTGATAAGAATGGCGGAAGTATGTAGAAAATGAGGAGAAAAGGTAAATACATGCATGCGTGAGGCTAGACACATTCGAGCGTGCAACTTCTAATTTGAGCTCGGCTTGGACTTTAGAGAATCTAACCTACGAAAAGAAACAAAAATAACTTCAGTAAGAGTTGCAAGCCGAGACAGACTATCTAAAGCAATGCCTAGAAAGTGAAGCATCACCGTTCGAGCAAAACCAACGGCAAATCCTGTTTTAGCCAGATTATGATAGCAAGATCAAGCCCATCAAAGTAATCATGCAAATCCTGTTTCAGGGGAACTCCATGCTCAGAAAACCACGACATGGTGTCAGCAGGACCATGTGTGTTGAAGAAAGAACCTCTGAGCTCTTTATTACCTCGAGGGTAATTCTCTGCCAATCTCTACACTCAAATTCGATATAATGCAAAAGTTACCGACGAACTGGAAAAGAATCAAGGGAAATCCAGTTGAATCAATCGACTCCAGGGTGCAGAGGCATATGATAAGCTTAAAGTTTCAATCTTTTTCGTTTTTCGTTCTTAAAGCTGCTCACCGCATTGTCATTGAAATGCCCATTGGTCACATTGCACCGTCCACCACCGGAAATCTTCACCTGTAGACAAATAATAGTATTGGGATTTATTACATAAACATGAACAAAACCCAAAGATTCACAAAGACTAACCTCTGAATGAAATTTCCCTTTCTCAATGACCAAAACATTTAAAGCAGGAGCACCAGTTTTAGCCCTAATTGCTCCATAAACACCAGCTGCTCCACCACCAAGAGCTCATCATCTTCATCCCTGCCCTACCCATTTCACCGAAAACCCAAGAATTGCACAAACAAGAAAGGAAAAAAAAGGAATTGAACTTTCCAGAAGAATTCAGAAACCCTATACCTCGGTGAAGCTGGTTATGGCAGTGATAGCCAATACTCTACTTCTGGGTCGCTCCATTCGTTCTGGGGCTACATGCGGTTTTCAGAGAAACCCAAGGAGAATTCGCTAAGTTCGTCGAAACGGTGCAGATAGGTTGCGTCGCGTTTCAATTGTAGCGGAAGAAGATAGCCAGCAAAGAAACGAGAGGGACATTCGAAACGGTGGCGTTCAGTTTCTCATCGGAAAGGTGTACATAAACAATCCAAACAACAACGCAAGAAACTTGTCCTCGCACCGAAAACGGAGCAACAGTAACTGCCTTGCCGATTGAAACTCCAACTTCAAAATAAAGAAAACCAAGATGAAGACGAACTCAACTGCCTTCATGGTTCCAAGAGGCCCATGGGCCTCGACACATATTGATAAAGATCCATAACAGCTTAACACTCAATTTTCATTTTCATTATAAAAAAGAAAAAAAGAAGAAGAAGACGCGACCCTTTTTATTTATTTATAATTACTAGAAAAGAACCGCGCGATGCGGGATTATTCATCTATTTATTATAGAAAAGTATTGATATAAATTTATACAAAATTATTATATATTACGTAAAGTTAAACTATAGTATTGGTCATTATAATATAATAAATGAATAAATGAAATAATATAAATATTATTACAATGGAGAAAAAGATATTATTAGATATATATATTGTTGTTAATCTACTGTTAATTTGTAGTATATGTATTGTTGTTTTTTTAGATTTGTTTCACATTATGTATAACATTCGCAACAAAGAAATGATCAACGTCAATCATAAATCTTTTCATACCAATCATTTTGCACGCCTTTTTCCATGCCGCTGCAAGTTGTTCCTTCTTGAACTCAGAAGAGCGTGGTACAAAACCAATATAACTGATCACGATATTTCACCAAAATCCCATTTTGGAAAACGGTCAATACACTTAGTATCCATTTGGTTTATAATCCTTATTATTTATGAATAAAAAATTTCTAAATTTTATTTACTAAATAAAAACATAAAAACAAATAACTTTTCCATTCATGAGATTCTATTTTATTGGATTATATTCAAATTTTATTGTACTTTCTTTCTTTTATTCGATTTGAATTTTTTAAAAATTATTGCCATTTAATTTTTTAAAAAATTATATTAAATTGTTAAGTGTGAAATATCATCATCATCATCATTATTATTATGTGAATATATACATAAAAATATAAAAAAACCTGACCTATTATATTGATTAAACATATAATTTACCATGAAAAATATAAAAAAATAGTATTCACTATATATGTATATAAATAATTTTATAATATAATAATATAATGATATCTATATTCCTTCATCTTTTTTCTTCTCTATATAGATTAATATATACCTTTTGTTATCTACATATCAATGATTTTTAAAATAAAAAAAGTAAATATTTTGCTTCTGAATTGTTTTTTATATTCTTAAATTTTATTTATAAAATAAGTTAAAAAATAAATATCACATTTTAGTGTAGCATCTATTTGGTTAAAAATTATCATCTTAATATCTATTTAAATTGAATTATGTATTTGATATGAAAATAATATATTTCGAAAATACTATTTGAATTACAATTTATGACAATTTAATAAAATGTGATTAAATTTTGTATCCTTTTAGCTTTTATGCAACAAAATTTATAGGTTTTTTTTTAATTTTATCAAAAAATAATTTTTACTCTACGGTAGAAAAATTCAACAAATACATATACACATACACATATATATATACATATACATATTTCTACATATATATACATGTATACATATTGACACACATTTATGTATATACATATATATACATACATATTTTTATACATGCATATATACACATACACATGTATGTGAATATATAGAGGTATAAATATACAGATGTAGATATGATTATACAGACATGACATATATTTTGTCATCTAACACTATCATGTAAAAAAAAATTATAGATACATACATATATGCAATATGTATCGGTTTGACTATGAGATCTCTAAATCCATAAAAATATCAAAGTTTATCAATAAAGAATCTTACAAAAACACATCCATTAAAAAGTGAAACAATCACTTGCATAAATTAGACACCCTTCTTCGAGAGTGGTGATGAAGATGATATATATTATTTGTTTGCTTTAAGTAAAATATTGTATAAAATTGTATATTTATAAAGAATTCAAGAAGTAAAGAAATATGAGTATCTTACATGTATAAGGTCGATATTAAGATTTATTCTGAATGCGGATTATTACATTTTTTTATTTTTTTTATTAAATTAAGTTCATCGAAATAACAAATAAATTTTAAATCTAAGTGTAATCAATTAAAAATTCCAATAACATATAAAAATGAGATCAAAATATATTTTTGTAATGCAAGAAAGATGAGAGTTTTTAATTTTAAATAAATTTTAAATATATATATATATTCGTAAAATATAAAATACATAAATATATTCATATACACATAAATATATATATACACATATATTTATACAAATATATATACACAGATATACATATATATACATATTTATATGTATATACACACATTGGCTTATGAAATTGATGACATTACTAAATTGGTTTACCTGATGTCCTCTACAATCTTGTTTGTCCGTTTGCTTTAAAAAAATATATATAAAATAAACATCTTTCATGGATTCTTATTGTTTTCTATAGTTTTGAACGTGCAATTGATTAAATGGTTAAAACTTTTTATTAAAATGATCTGATTGCAAATTTTGGATAAAAAAGACTTACACCGATGAGTTAAATTTGTTTATCATTGTGATGGAGATGAGAGTGATTGATATATGAGGCAGTGAATGTTGGAGTTTGAGTTCGAGTTGAAGAAATCTAGCGCCATTGTTTTCCAGTAGTTTGAGGCAGTGAATGTTGCTTTATTTATCATCGTCAACTTGCCTTATCCCCGTCCACTAAAAAAAATTAAACAGAAACTTAGAATCAAACATTCGAAAAATCCTATATGTAAAAATATGTTATATTAATAAAGATATTAAAAAATATAATATCAAAAATCAAATGTAAAATTATTTGGGAAATATGTTATATTAATAAAAATAAAATTATAAATATATGTACACCTTTTCATTTGAAGACGAACGATCACTCTTTGTTAGAAGTGTTCGCTAGCCCTAGACCCCTAGCTCTCACAACTGTAAAAGAGGAAATATGTCAGATTGTCTCTTTTAACAAAATACATAAGTGAATTGAAAAAAAAAAGAAAATTATCTAACTTTGGATATCTACTTCGGCTACTGGGTTTCGAGGAAGAAGTAGAAGAAGATGACATGCTTTTGGCAAAATTCGTTTAATAATTCAGAAATTTAAGTGTTGGAGTATACAAACTAATATCGCAAATATTAGATACAACATGCCAAAATATGATTAATGGAAGAGAGAAAAAATAACACTATAAAATCTTAGTTAGGTCCGAAGAACGTTATATTGATGTCTGTTAGCAAGGCCAATGTCTCTCTCATGTTCAAACGCGCGTTTGGCGATTCAACCACGCCTTCCAACTCGACCCTTATCGCAGTCGCCACACACCCTTCGCTTGTACACTACAAAAAAACATGCCATTAGTAACGAAATTAGCAACGAAATGCATTTCGTTGCAAAGTTAGCAACGAAATTGCAACGTTTTTTAATTGAAACGACAAATGCCACGTGGATGATGATATTGACTAAAAATATATAATAAAACATTATCTTTAAATACCTTCTCGCCACGCTTTCTCCAACCTCTCTGTATTTAGTTTCTGAATGACATTTAATATACAAATGTTTTGGGTTGTGGTGTTATATAGTCATAATAGGACATTAATACAATAAATAGGAATAGTAATTGTTAATATATGCTTTTCACCACTATTTTGGTTTTTATTATTGGGATAATGAAAAATCATGTCATCCGTTTTTTATATAATAGATTTCACTAAATATTTTATTTTTTATAATAAGAATTATTCAGGCCTTCGACTTTGAAGGTGACAGATTCGATATTGCAATCTTCGATATTATTTTATCTTTTTCCATTGCGTCACATGAATATGAATGGTTCTCTCCGATAAGTGCACCCTTTCTCTATTCTCCTACCAGCCATCCAATCTTAATTCCCACATATTTATTCAAATATAACTTACTCCACACAATATATATATATATATATATATACATATATGTTTATAAAAAAGCGTAGAAAAGGAAATGAAAGGATGTCCTGTAGATGACTGTGCGGACATGAACGATGATCCGGAGGATAGGGTTTCCATGAGGAATTAATGACATTGTAAATATCAGCAGAAAACATTGTGAAAGAATTTACCTTCTTGGAGAGCCTCTCAATATATGTTACCAGGGCTTTCTCCTAAGGAGTAAATTATGGCTTTGTAACTTGTTGGAAATGAATATGTATCATGTGTTTTATGACTTGTATTTAGGGGATAATTACCAAGAACAATGAAGATTGGAGAAGACCACACCTGAATATAAAATACATACATATTCATAAAATATAAAAAATATAAAATACAAATACACATATATATATATATATTTATATATATAAACATATATACATACGTATATATATTTGTGTATATATATATATACACACGTTGGTTTAAAATTGATGACATGGCCAAATTGCCTTACCTCCATGAGCCAGGGCTCCTCCATAATCTTGCTTGGCGGTTTGCTTTAAACGAAATATAAGTAAGATAGCTAACAAATATATATAGGTAAGATGGACATCTTGCTTGGGCCTTGTTAGAAAAAGTTTATATTAAATTTATCTGATTGCAAATCATATTAAGATTGTGCGATAGATAGAACAGACCTACACTGGAGAGCAAAGTCCACATGATATGTGTGTCGTTGCAACGGAAATGAGATTGATCGATGGGTGAGGTGTGAGGTGGTAAATATTAGAGTTTGATTCGTGTTGAAGAAATATGTCGCCATTGTTTTCCTTTAACTCCAAAGAGGAATTTAGACCTTGTTTTCCCTTTTGTATGACATGCATATGTGTGTTAGACAAAAATATGCTTCAATCAAGGTTCATCTTATGCCATCTTGATCTTAGGTTTTAGGAGGAATGTGTAGTCAGAAATGTTATAAACACAAAAACCTGAATATAATCAAAATGTCAAATGCAACCCAGGCTTGACATCTGTAGAAATGAAGTGGGAAGACCCTTTAATGTATCGGACATACCATGTCAAGCCTTGGGAATACGTGGCTTTTCCGTTCAAATTTTCCTGCATTTCTGTGCTCTTTCCGTGGTATAAGGCCTTGTGCTTCCTCGGCCAACGTGTAACAGTAACCTCTCCATCAACCTGCAAATTCCTGAATTCTGATTGAGAGGAACGACCATCTTGAATTACCATAATAGGTGGTGCTGCAGTGGATCGAGAGCACGACGATCTTCTCTCAAGGGATGAGTTGATGCTTCCGTATGGGCTTATCTAGGTTGTCATACACCTTCTTGATGCAGCACGACGATTGATGCCAACATCCTTTACATAATTACATAAAATAAAAAGATGCATAAAAAATAACATAAAATACAAAAAATTACTCGGTGTAGAAGTCAATTTAAATGCAACGTTTGTATGTCTATATACGTTACGAATACGATCATAACATAATGATTGACATCTCAAAGAATTGATTCTATTTTGATAGTGGGTTGAAATGCAATTAATTGTTATTTTAAACCAAAACCGACGGGAACGTTATATCATTTGGAATAAATATTTATCATAATATAGTGAGATGCCGATATATACAGTGTCATGTAAATAATTCTATTTATTATTGAAAACCACGATTAAAATTTAATGAATACAGAATAAATACTCCAAAAAGAGTTTTATGACAAATTTGATCGTGTACATGGTTGGTAACACTCTTTTGATTTAAATGCCTTCCCTACGTTAGCATGTAATGTAGTTGAAAGGTTAATAATTATTATTTGTTTTTTAATTACAATAATTTTGCTTTTAAAAGAAAATTGTGTGTAGTTAACATAAAAAAATCACCATTAATTGTTTAATAAAATTTTGTAGTTGTTAGAATTATTTTGTAATAAGGATTTTCTATAACATTTCAATTTAATTAACATGTTATTTTACTAAAAGATATTAAATATATGTGTAATCAAATAAAATTTTCAATTATATATAAATCCAAGAATAGAATATTTTTTTTATATAATTAAAATGAATGATTTTTTAATTATAATAATTTGTTTATTTAGTTTTTTGTACAAAAATTAGGGTTAATCTAATGTATTAGATGTAGTTAATAAATACTATAAATGACAAATAAAAATTTTAAAAATGCCACATAGATGATGATGTGGAGGATGAGGTGTCTTCACCAAATCTCTTTAAACTTCTTTATTAATATATATAGATTTATCCCGATCCCGATCTCGGTCTCGGTCTCGATCTCGGTCTCGGTCTCGGTCTCGGTCTCGGTCTCGGTCTCGGTCTCGGTCTCGGTCTCGGTCTCGTCGGGTTTTTGATTAGAATGTCTCGATCTCTATCTCGCGAAACTCGGGTATCCGAGATTCGGATATCCGAGACACGAATCCGGGTACCCGTGATATCCGAACCCGAACTCGTGTAAATTTTTTAAAAACAAATCTTGACAAATACACAAAATTAATACATTAATAACATAAAATTCAATATCCAAAATATATCCAACATCCAAAACGTATCTAAAATGCTTGAATAAAATCAAAATCATAAATTTCATAAGTTCAACATCCAAAACATATACATCTTCATAATTCTCAGACATACGAGCATACCTGTAGAAACAAAAAAACCATACACATCTAGATTAGAGTGAGGAACGCATTCGATAGAATAAAAAATCAACACTACGAAGATATATTTTTTTTTGTTAAAGAATGACAGAGATATTAAAACACATAAATCTGTAACTTTCACGAACCTTGTCTTTTTTTTTCACGAACCTTATCTTTTTCGTTCTTGTATCACAAAGTCAAAACTCTTTACGATTCAAAACTCGAAAATTGGTTTCTAGTAGAGATTTCATGAATCCATACAAAACTCAAAAACTGAAAAATCGAAATCGAATCATTAAGAATAGATGAGATCAAAATGGAACCTTGGAGAGATTAAGTCTGACACATCGATTACTATCATCTCTTTGCTATAGTTTCGTTGGCCAAGGCAGATGAGTAATCAGTCCAACCTATGTGACAGAAACATTCAGTGATCTTCCACAAAATCCGAAAATAGAAGCCGATTCGGCGAAGACGGAGAGACCAGAGGCGGGATTTACCCGGGGATGGAGTGGAGACAGAGGAGAACCGAGCAGCGGAGATGGAGAACCGAGCGGCGGAGAGAGAGGGAAACCGAGCGGCGGAGAGAGAGGGAAACCGAGCGGCGGAGACAGAGGAGAACCGGCGGAGACGGAGAAACGGTACTAGATTCGCCGGAGGCAGAGAGACCGAGAGAGCGTCGAATCGTTTTTTTGCAAAAAAGGAGGCCACAACTCATGAGAGAGAAGAAGTGAGATAGCAAATGTCGTGAATTAGGTTAAGGGTGAATTAGGGTTAAGGGTGTTTTTGTAAGAGTATTAAAAATTAAGGGTATTTTTGTAAATTCTTTTTTGGTCGGTACCCGCGAGATAACCCGTCGAAATATTTTCGAACTCGAATCCGAACCCGAAACTCGGATTTTTGATCTCATGAGACCCGATCGGGGAAATAGCTCCAATACCCTTTGACTGCTATTTCTACTTCTAAGGATACCCTCCAAACAAAAAATTAAAAAAAAAACAGATTGAACATAACAAAAGACAATAAAACCCTCGTAAAATAATGTAAAGACAAAAAAACCTTCTTATTTTTCTATTTAAAAAATTCAAATTAAAAAAAAAATGTAAAAGGATATTTATTATCTTCTCTTTCCTCTCAACCTCTTCTCTCTCTCCTAACTTTCGCCATTTTTGTTCTCTCTCTAAAAATTTACAGATTCTCATTGTTAAATCCCGATTTCTCTTAAAAAATTTGTTTTCTTTTTAAATCTCCATCTAGATTTGAGATTCAAAGAACAAGAAACGACGAAGCGAAGAACGTGACTCAATTTCGTTATCATCTTCGATCGAGAATGAGATTCGTATGTATATTACGGCGTTAGACGAACATATGGTAGGTTAAACGAACACTTCTTTTTAGATTTGTTGGATTTTGAAATCTATTGTTGTCGGGTTGAAGCGTAATTTCGGGATTTGATCGATAAAAACTTAGGGTTTTGGGTTTTTGAAATTTTGGGGATTTTGAAATAGACTATTTTGGGTTTGAAATCAAATAATCAACCGTGAAGTGAAATGGTTAAAACTGAGTTAAATGAGTCCGTTGACATGATCGTATGATCACATGGTCACAAGGTCACATGGTCACACGATCACACGATCACACGGTCACATGGTCACATGGTCACACAGTCACATGATCACACAGTCACACGGTCACATGGTCACACGGTCACACGGTCACATGGTCACATGATTTAGTATAATAATATGGAGTTATATATATTTTCTTTCAGGGAATAAAAAGTATACTACATATAGGAATGAATGAAGAAATTCTTTTTTTTTATCTGGATGAGTATGAAAGAAGTACAAATCTAACGGTTATCTCTTTGGTGTAATATCTAGACTTGAATTCGGAAAACATATGATGAAAAAAGATTCGTGAAATGGAAACTTGTTCCAGAAAATCTATAAAGATGAAAAAAAGAGAGTAAATTCTGATTAAAAAAAAAGGAGTAGACGATGAGAGAGAAGAATGAGAAATACCACAAGAGCAACAACAACAACAACAATAACAATAAAAGTTGGCAATTCATGATAGATTATGATAGTTCCCCGAAAAAATAATTTTGAACTGCCTTTTTTTATGTTTGAACCCTAATGATAAACTCCTTTTTCTTTATTTGTTTGAACCCTAACTATGAATCTTTGATTTTTTGTAGTTGTTTAATATATTTCAACTTGTTTATGGAGATAAAAAAAAATCTATATATATTAATAAAAGAGTTTAAAGGGATTAGATGAAGCCACCTCATCATCCACATCATCATCTATATATCAATTTTACAAATTAAAATTATTATCTCTACAAATTAAAATTATATTATTTCAAGAAGTTCATGATTATAAATTAAATTCTACTCATCATCTATGTATCGATTTTATATGCATAATCTATTATAATTTTAAAAAAATTCGTCTTTACAAATAAAAATGATAAGATTTTTTAAAAAATATGATAATAAATTAAATTATAAAATGCCACAATATTATTATATTTATCAAATAAAATTGATTCACAAAATATTGGAAAAATCTTGATTACAAATTAAATTCTAAAAGTATAAAATTCTAGAACTATAATTAACAAAATTTATTTTTATTTAATTGAATAATCTTAATAAGATTATACGTGTATAGTTTTAATTTTATTAATTTATATAAAGATATGAGTAAATGCAATACTGTTATATTTTATATAAAAAATTATATTGAATTAATAAAAAATTATGTTTATTTGGATTTTATTCATTAAAAATCCGAATTTTTGAATGTTTTTTACAGAATATTGTGAGTTGAAAATGTTGTAGGTGAAAATTTGGGGTTAAAAATTGAGAGGAAAACAAATATAGGGTTAAGAGAGAAATTATATAGGGTTGAATATTCAAATTGGGCCCCACATTAAAAACAACAAATGGACATAATGATTATGGGCCCCACGAAACACAAAAATCTAGAGAAATTCTGACTAGTTCTTCGTGTGGACCCCACAACATATTTCAGTCACAATAGGTCACAGTCAGTCACAACCGGTCACAACCTTCAATCCATGCGATTTTTGTCAATTTAATCACTCTACAACGTTACACATCACTCATAAGCCTATTCTATATTGTTTCGAACATTAAAATATGGTTTTTACGATTTTTGTGTTTGAAAGTTGTTCTTTCCAAATGTGTTCATATATGTTCTATAGTATTTTATTAGTACTTTTGATAAATTTGGTACATTTCTTCTACAAACCCCTTAAAATATTTTAAAATTTTCTCACACTCACTATATATTTGATATATAGACTATGATAAACCACCCTCAAACTTAAAATTTTAATTTTGGTTAATATTTATCAACACATTTCGGTCACGGGTCACACTCGGTCACAATGGTCACACAGTACAAAATTGAACTTCGGTCACATGGTCACATGCCGGTCACAATGGGTCACAACATTGACTCGTGTGAGTCAATTTATTTAGTGTGTATCACGAGTCAAATATATACGAAAATTCATCTTCAATAATATAATATTATTATGGTACAAACACAATATTATATAAAGGTTTTAACACTACATTGTATAAATACATTATAACATTATTAACCACAATTCTTTGACATTATTATACAAAGATTTTATAACACATTATAATATAAATACACCATACAATTATTATACAAATTTATGGTGTCTATTTCTTCACTCCAATTTAGTCATTCTCTCTGACATTGCTAATACTTCATTCACAACAATTGGAGACCGGATACACAGTTTTTTTAATTAGCAAGATGTTATGTCTCCCGCATATAATATGGAGAACATAAGTCTGGTATAATATTGGTTTTACCAACCTTTTGAATTGTTGCGACTGTGTGATTGCATGTGTTCTACTACTTCAAGATCCCAATCATTACCACCATCATCATCATCATGGTCCCCATCACATTCAGTACTCGTAACTTCTCTAAATCCATTTGAATGTTCATTGTAATAAATATGTATAAAGTGCGTCTCGCATTCCACTTATCTTATCCCGTAGATAAATATGAATGTGTTTGTCACATATATCCATGTGACCATTATTAACAATCTGAATATTCTGAGAATGTTACCGTGTGACAATGTGACTGTGTGATCATGTGACCCTGTGACCATGTGACCCTGTGACCGTGTGATCCATGTGACCTTGTGACTTTTATGATCCATGTAAACTATTATCTAATGACTTGTGACCCATGTGACCCATAACCCATGTCTATTATGACACGTATGATTGTTGTGACCTGTGAACGATGCTTATAATAATCTTTGTGACTCATATGTTCATTCTAACCATTATGCCAAATAACTTGTGTGATCTGTGACTCGAAGATACTCTAAAAATACTTAAATTATGACTATACATACTAAAACGACAAAACTTAGCAAACAACAAAAAATACATGAAAAAAGTATAAGAACCATCAATCTTCATGAAAAATATTGGGATTTTGATCGTAGTTTATCTATTCCCAATTTTCTGTGTGATTTTACACAAATTTTGTTCTGATTTTATCGGATTTTGAAGAGAAAAAAGTCAATTACAGAGGAGAGAGAAACCAATGAGGAGAGAGAAAGCTTGGAGAGAGAAGCGGGAGAGAGAAATCGACGGAGAGAGAAAACCTAGATTTTAGGAGAGAGAATGTAGATTTTAATTAAAAAATAAATATAAATTAATATTGTAAGGGTATTTTAGTAAAACTATATTTGAGATGGTATTTTAGAAGTGAATTTTTTTTTTAAAAGAAAAGAGGGTAGGTGGAGAAGTCCTTTTAGCACATTGAAGGTAAAACAGATAATGCCCCGACCCGATCTCTATCTCATTATCTCACGAGTAATGAGTTTCCGGATAATCGCGAGATAGAGTATCCGAAAATCCGCGGATGTCAGATAAAAATGTCCGGCCCTACTTGAAAGACACAGATTCCACTCATCTCCATGATTCCACTCATCTCCATGAGACGATTTGGAGGCAAAAATAAATTGCAATTGCAAATGTGACTGTGTCGTGGTTTTTATTTATTGATAGTTGTTATAATCGTTGATATACCATGAAATATAAATAAATAAATGAAAGAAGTTGGTTCATTTTCATATTTGTTATTATGGTTTCACACATAATTAATTAACTATACTCTTTGAGTGGGAAAATAAAAAAAAACAAATAAAGATAAGAGTCTGGGCTGTTTTGAAAAGTAACATACGAGCGAGCCAGCTCACAATTTTTGTTTATAATTAAGCAAAGAGAGAATAATTAATTTATACTCTAAATGATTGTCATTAATTGTGAATGCGCTTAATGCCACTTGTAGACTCAATTAGCACAATGACAAAAAAAAAAGTTACTATTGTATTTATTATTTCATCACTTAATCCTGTCAATTATATTATTATAAATACATTTGTGCGAGACAGCTATATTCTTTGACGGACAGCATTCGTCCACGCAGTCAGATCAACATTTAATAAAATAAACAATCAAAGACAAAAGTAAATTGAAATCGCCATGGTTTTTTTGTTATTATTATTATTGCCAGTTGTTTGTTTTGAATTTCTAATTCCGTAAAATATAATAGAGAAATTTTTTTTTTAAAAAAAGATACAAATTAAGATGAGGGTAACGAGGCATTTAATGATATTTTGAGATGAATTTGGCTAAATTAAAAAATATATATATTTTAAATGAAAAAAAGAAGAAGAAGACGAGATATCATATGTCGAGCATTAGGCTTCAAGAGAGAGAGATCTGGTTTCTCCTTCTTTGTTTTTTAATAGTTTGACATCTAAAGGCATGGAGGTTCAACTTGTGGTATCGTCAGAAATCACTCAGTTCCAGGCATGGGCCATGGAAGAGGTAAATTCACCTTTCCACGAACATCCTCTGCACCGTTCGAGCGGGTTTGGTAGCTGGTGCTACGAGTGTGGTCAACCAGGTTACACGGAGGACGGCTACCGTTGTTCAGAGTGCTATGGAAATTTCTTCATCCACAAGGGATGTGCGGAGTTGCCTTTTGAGATCAACAACTCTTGTCATCCCCAACATCCTCTCAACCTCCTCAGCCTTCCGGATCACAAACGATGTCGTTTATGCGATCTACGCGTGAGGAGAGTGGGCTATGGATGCTCTACGTGTGACTTGTGGCTGCACACAAGTTGTTCGAAAAATCCACCCTCTCATATTGTCCAAAAGCCGGAGGCTCACGAGCATTCGCTCACCTTCCTCATGCAGGAAGGGAAGGTGAGGTTCGCCTGTCATGTATGTGGTCAGTGGAACGACTATTATGGCTATGCATGTAAACAATGCGACTTTCTCTGCCACTTCCGATGTGTCAGCCTCTCACCAGATATGAACCACCCTTCCCACCCAAGCCACCCTCTCCAACTCCTCAAGGACGGCGCACCTCTTTACGCATCTAATGGCAAGTGCTGCCTTTGCGGTGACGAGTTTGAGAAAGGACGGCTCTATCATTGTTCCGTCTGTAACTACAGCTTGGACCTGAAGTGCGTAAGAAATCCGCCGCCGCTGACTCATATGAGCCCTAAAACCCACGAGCATGAACTCGCCCTCATTCCCCGACACCTCTCCTTCACCTGCAATGCATGCGGGAAGAAGGGCGATCGGAGTCCCTATGTCTGCCTTCGATGCAATTTCATGATCCACAGAAGATGTTTCAACTTACCTCTTCTCATCAACATCAACCGTCACGATCACCGCATCTCTCGCACCTATCTTCTGGGTCCTGGGTTTTCCCACCATGACTGCGCAGTGTGTCACCAAAAGGTCGATTGGCCCTATGGAGGCTATATTTGTAATTGTAAGTCATGCCCTGACTTTGTTGCTCATTCCGATTGTGCAACTCGACACGATGTGTGGGACGGGAGGGAGCTCACAAGGAAACCTGAAGAGATCGAAGATATGGATCCGTTCAGAGTGATAGGCGTCAACTTGATAAACCATTTCACTCACGAAGAACACAACCTCATGCTCAACAACAAGGCCCGCGAGGAAGGAGTGATAGAGTGCAGAGCATGCATTCGTCCTGTATATTCTGGCCCGTTCTACGGCTGTACGCAATGCGATTACGTTCTTCACGAAACATGCGCCAATCTTCCTCGGACAAAGCGACATCCGCTCTTCTCGGATAAACTTACTCTGGTGGGCGGTGACACGTACTTTCAAGATTCTTTTAGATGTTATGCTTGTGGCCGACGCTCTACCGGTTTCAGGTACACTATGATGATGGATGACTATGCGGTAGATGTAGGATGCATCTCTATTACGGAGCCCTTAAAACATGATAGTCATCCCCATCCCTTATACTTTGATAGTTACTTAGAGAAGTGTTGTGAGGCTTGCGGCGGATCACGTCGTAGAGGCTTCAAATGCATTCGGGATGATTGTGAATTCTATTTGGACTACGGTTGCGCAGTGTTGCCTCTTCCAATGCTACGGGGAAGATGCAGATCCAAAGGGTCGATACTGGTGTGATATCTGCGAGGAAGAAGTAGACCCAAAGAGATGGTTCTACACGTGCGATCGTTGTTGCACCACTCTGCACATCCATTGCGTGCTTGGAGACCTTTTCTCTGGTCACGCGGCGGGAAGCGTATTCACGCACAAGTATGATGAATGGAAACATAAAGTCCAAGTGGTGGCAAACAGTGGCATCTCTCGACCTTACTGCCGCGTATGTAAATCTCGTTGCAAGGCCTCCTTGATTATGAAGACACTTGACGACACTGGTCGGTTCATCTGTTCTTATACTTGTTTTCATAACTTTATGTTCACCTAAACATTTGAACCGATTGGTTATATTTCTATTCAATGTTTGGGATCAAATTTATATCTTGTTTGAACTCATTGGCTATAATTTATATATACAAAAGGTGAATCGATCAAATAAATATCGATATTTATGTTTGTTAGAAACTTGTATTACTTAACGCTGAATTAAATGAAAATGTGGCATACAATACAATTACATACACGTGAAAATTTCATCCCACGAAAACATTGCTGGTCGTCGCTAATTTACCTATGCGGGTTCCTGCAATATATCCACCGGACCAAGCATTCTGTACAAAAACAATACCACAACATGATTTCATATTTTTTCTTATATATATATATATATATATGGCCCAATTAACTAGAAATGTAACTAATTCACCTGGAAATTGAAGCCCCCAGTTACTCCATCTATGTTTAGTACCTGAAAACCCATGCACCAAACATATGATGTTGCATGCATGTATACATACATGATGATGCTCGTGGTGTACGTGTGTATATATTATAAATGTCGATGATGTATATCAGAAACAAAGATATTATATGCATGTGTGAATGTAAGGCGCATGTGCAGATGTGAATCAAGTAGCATTGACATATATATCTACACATGTGTATACAACACATGCATTCACCCATGTATGCAATGATGCATAAACATGCTAACAAGTCATACCTCTCCTGCAAAGAAAAGGTTGGGAACCAACTTGCTCTCCATCGTCTTCAAAGAGATCTTGAAACAGAGAGAGCAACTCAAAGTCAGATTCCAGGTCAGGACAGGAAAACAGAGCATCAAAACCGATCGAAATAGATATGCTCCGTCTCATAAGGTACCTCGGACAACGGTACTCCCCCAGCTGTTACAAATTCGTCTTTGTATTGACCCTTGAAGAGAAAACTCATTATCATCATTACCACTATTATCATCATCATCATCACGAATGGCATGACAATCCCTGAAAATGGTGGTTTCAAGAGGGTTTTTTTTAGGGTTTAGGATATTTGATGAGTACCTTTCCAGTGACTTGAAATGCACAATGTTTTAGCAGCCGCGAAATGCAGCTCAACGAGTTATTTGACAACGATGCCCACACCGTATCTCCGTCAAAACCCTGAATATGCCGAGAAATCAAAGAATACGCGTAAAAAAGAAGTTTTTGAATGCATGGAATCGATGAAAGAACATTCGAGAAAATCTCGTTGAAACCTCTCGAGACAGTATATATCTCCAGAACCTCTTCACCAGACCCAACTGTGGAGGATATGAGTTGCAAACCTTTTGCTTCTGCATCGAAGAATGCTCAATCCTTTTTAACCAGATAAATGAGAAGATAATGGATTTCACATCTTCTGCATCGATGAAAGAACATTCGAGAAAATCTTATCGAAGAGGCAACAAAAGTGTCGGCTGTTACTGGAAACTGCTGCTTGTGTTGGCGGATAATGGATTTCACATCTTCCACGTTGAAATCGGGCATGAAGTCCACAATAAGCAGCCCTGTAGCCAAACAGTATCAACCTGATCCGAGATTTGAAGTATCAAAGATTAATTTATTGGACCAAAAAAAAAATGGTGATGACGAGTTCTTTCCGCGGGTAAGAGACTATCACCTTTGTAATCTGTATTGAAGAGGTGTCGGGCCCCCCACGCAGAGAGACGAAGAATAACAGGTCCACTAAGTCCCCAATGCGTAATTAGCATAGGACCGACCTAGAAAGAAAGCAAATCCTTCACATATAGAACATACATCTGGACGACACATACGGTGATAAGAATGGCGGAAGTATGTAGAAAATGAGGAGAAAAGGACCAAAAGGTAAATACATGCCTGCGTGAGGCTCGGCACATTCGAGCCTGCAACTTCTAATTTGAGCTTGGCTTGGACTTTAGAGAAACTAACCTATGAAAAGAAACAAAAATAACTTCAATAAGAGTTGCAAGCCGAGACAGACTATCTAAAGCAATGCCTAGAAAGTGAAGCATCATCGTTCGAGCAAAACCAACAGCAAATCCTGTTTTAGCCAGATTATGATAGCAAGATCAAGCCCATCAAAGTTATCATGCAAAATTACAGCAAAAGGGACTCTACAAGCTTTAAAACTATGTGAATTCCCGATCCGCACAGACAAATTACCCCTGCTAGTTCAACCAAAAGGGGGTCATTGACTTTGAAAGTGAATAAGCTCGGTACAGGGTCTACGATGGAATGACCAAGGTGAGCAGCCAAGGAGTAACCCTATCACACGATAAACCTTGAAAGCATCAGTATACATTACAGAAAATAATCGACAGAAATCTATTCCTCTATAATGAGAACCCTCAAAATGAAACACCCGAAATAATAATAGGTTCAAATGGTTTCTTCCTTAGTGTATATAACCTGCTGGCTACTTCCAGTAGCAACAAGAAGATAGGTCGTTTCAACGTGTTCAGGAGCATCAGCTCCACGATTCAAAACTTTGAGAAGGAACTTTCCGTCGTCTCTAACGGAGGTAGCTGGTACAGCTTTTCCACTCTCCAGGCGAACTGCAATGAGCATTGAATGAACCATGGTTAAGATTATGGAAAAATATATATCCGAGCTCCATGTGATCCAGCAGAGAGATACATACCTCCCCTAACCCTTGCTTCAGACAAGAGGCAATCGACTATGGAAGATGAATTATCGCTCACGGGAAATACTCTCCCATCTTCTTCAATCTGAGGGAGACGAAAATCAGGGAAAATATGACAATTCAAAAAGGAATTTTGATCTGAACAATATCAATCACATGTTACAAAACCTCAACCTTCAGGGGAACTCCATGCTCAGAAAACCAGGACATGGTATCAGCTGGACAATGTGTGTTGAAGAAAGAACCTCTGAGCTCCTTATTACCTCGAGGGTAATTCTCTGCCAATCTCTACACTCAAATTCGATATAATGCAAAAGTTACCGACGAACTGGAAAAGAATCAAGAGAAATCCAGTTGAATCAATCAACTCCAGGGTGCAGAGGCATATGATAAGCTTAAAGTTTCAATCTTTTTCGTTTTCCGTTCTTAAAACTGCTCACCACATTGTCATTGAAATGCCCATTGGTCACATTGCACCGACCACCACCGGAAATCTTCACCTGTAGACAAATAATAGTATTGGGATTTATTACATAAACATGAACAAAACCAAAGATTCACAAAGACCAACCTTTGACAGAAATTTCCCTTTCTCAATGACCAAAACATTTAAAGAAGGAGCAACAGATTTAGCCCTAATTGCTCCATAAATCCCAGCTGCTCCACCACCGACAACCACCAAGAGTTCATCTTCCTCCCTCCCCTACTCATTTCACCAAAAACTCAAGAATTACAGAAACAAGATTCCAAGAAATAAAGAAAGAAAAGAATTGAACTTTACAGAAAAGTTCAGAAACCCTATACCTCGGTGAAGCTGGTTATGGCAGTGATAGCAAATACTCTACTTCTGGATCTCAAACTGAAAGCTCCATTCGTTTTGGGGCAACATGCGGTTTCCAGAGAAACCCCAAGAGAATTCGATAGGTTTAAGCTCATTGGATACCCAAGTCCGCAACTTTTTTTCCCCCCGATTGTTTGATCCTAGAGTTTAGGTCCAAACCTCAAGAGTGCAGATATTTTGCGTGGAGTTTCGATTGTAGCGTAAAAAGGGGCAAAAGATAGCCTAAGCCACCAAACGAAGAGTTCAGAGAGACATGCGAAACGGTGTCGTACGAAATAAAGGAAACAGTATTATATTAATTTGCTGGTTCTCTTGGCCACCATAAAATGGAAGAGCTCTCGCCACCATAAAATTTTATTTATTATAAAAAGCAGTATATATTTATTTAAATATGATAACTGTCATGTGGATATTTATTAAAATATCATGAACCTTATGTTATATCTAATTGATAAATAAAACAACTATGCATTGAATCAACTCAATAACAAGCATCAATTCTCACAAGTAAAGCACATACATGTATGTAGGTTAAGGCTAACATTGTTGAATCAGGCATCTAACAAAAGTAACGACGGCAAGACGCTCATCCACACAAACCCTAAAACGCTGAATCCTCATAAACCCTAAAAAGACGCCATCGAAATCCCAAATAACCACGAGACATCTCACCGACTGAAGGTTCCGGCCGGATCGAGCTGGTTACACAGAGTGAGATACGTGAGATACAAGACTCGATCTTTAGCCCCGGTCCGATGATTCTGGGTCTTATAGCAGAAATACTTGAGTTGTTCCAATGTACAGCATCCCAGCATTTGCCCTAACAGCAGAAACAGCCAATTTATATCCTCTTTCTTCTGACTTATCACCGGTTTCATCCCAGTTTCGCAGGTCTCGCAAGTCGGAAGCCGAGGATTCATCCACAAGCTCGGTGCTCGGTCACGTAATTCCTCCTTGTTCTCAGCTATGTACCTGGAAATTTCTACAAACTTTTCCTTGAGATTGTATTCCACAGTGACTATCTTCTCGCACCGTTTGCATTGGACTTGCCCCGATATCACGTTTATTTTCTTGGATATCAAGTCGCTCAAGCTGTGCACCGTGAACGGGCTTGTGGTGGCCCACTGGTATGGCGCCGTCACAATCTCCTTGTCCCCGGCTACTTCCTCCGGCACAGCTGCAGCCGCATGGGTTGATCTACGACGCATCTGATGAGCCCCGGTCCCAGCCGGACGTCCCGGCCCACGTCTGGTTGCAGGAACGATCACCGGCTGGGGTGCAAGCTGAGGGGCGATGATCACCGGATAAGATATACGGGGATCGGACGGGACCACCGGCGGCGGATATGACGGCTGAGCCGCTGTGGCCACGTTCCAAGGGTTAGTGATGGGCCGGGAAGTGAATTGATGGACGTTAGCCGGTGGCATTGGGAGAGGCGGTCGGTCACCGGTTGTATGGATGGTAAAGCGGGAGCGGAGGCTCGTCTTGCCGGAGCAAGGGACAAAGAGAGATCCAAGCAGGCATCTTTGGGGCTACCGCTGTCCATTTCTCCGGAGACGGAGAGGAAGAAATGGAATCTTTTATTTTTCCTGATCTCTACGTGACGATGGAATGTTTGTTTGGGGGTCAAGGGATAAAGAAGATAAAGAAGATCATGTGAGATCTTCAGGTTTGTTTGAGAGTTGATATGCTCAGATGCCCTTTATTGTATTTTATTTTATTTTGCTCCAAATTATTGTTATAACTCTTTGTATTCTACGGTGTATATGATAGAAGATGTAGAGTATATTCGTAATCAAACCTTATACGCGACTTTTCTGGTAAATATGTAAATTATTATACATTAAAAAAAAACTTAAGTACCGAAGTACACCTTGTTTGAATTTCTGGTCATCACTTGATTAAATAGAGTTTGTTAATTTTATCTTCTAAAACAATAATTTAATATAATTTTAACATGATAATATACAAATAACTGGATAAACCTTTGAGATATTATCATAATTAATACATATATCGTTATTTGTTTATTTAAGCTTAATTATATCAAAATTCATCTCAAATCAAGCTCGTAAATCTTAACAAACCCTATATAAGATTTAAATGATTTTACACTCTTGGAAATTTTGTATCCAAAGACGACAAAAAAAAACATGAGAAGCTTCTTGTTCGTGATATTTTTTCTTATTGGTCTCCAAAATTTTCTCTTTGTTCAATCACGTTCTGTTCGTAAAAACAGTTTCAATGTTCTTCATCATGGAGCAGTCGGTGATGGAATCCACGACGATACCAAGGTTTGATCGATTATTCATCTTATTCCCTTTAACAAATTTTGAATTACTGAAAGTGAAATACGAATATAAAATGGAAATATATGTATTAGTTTGGATTTTGATGTGACAATTTAAACAAATCGAGCTATTTTTGAAGTATTTAATGGAATTTGGAAAATTAGTCTAACTATGTTTTAGGGTTTATAGTTCACAATGAACGAATTTGATATAGTTTGAGTTTTGTCTTGGCACAACGCTCCCTTAGCTGTATGTATGTACGTACGTATGTATGCATGCATGCATGTATATATGTATGTATGTATGTATGTATGTATGTATGTATGTATGTATGTATGTATGTATGTATGTATGTATGTATGTATGTATGTATGTATGTATGTATGTATGTATGTATGTATGTATGTATGTATGTATGTATGTATGTATGTATGTATGTATGTATGTATGTATGTATGTATGTATGTATGTATGACGTGAACATGCAACAATGTCAATGTGTGTTTAGGCCTTCATGGATGCTTGGGAACACACATGCAATTACATGGGATCGAAATCAACCATGGAAATTCCCCGAGGAAAAACTTTTCTTCTACAACCCATAGAGTTCAATGGCCCTTGTAAATCCAAGAAGATCTTTTTCCGGGTATTTAATTAATTTCTAAAATATCTGTGTTTTATACACACACGTTGTATTTAATTGATTATATATTTAATTGTGTACAATATATAATCGATAATGTTTTACAGATAGATGGAGACCTCACTGCTCCGAAGCTTCCGCATAAATGGAGATGCGAAAATCATAAATGCGACAAGTGGATTGGATTTGGCCATCTCAATGGACTTTATATCGACGGTCGTGGCACTCTTGATGGCCAAGGACGAAAATGGTGGTCTCTCAATTGCAAACATGATAAAATTGTAAGCCCCTTTTTGTAATTTACTCATAATCTTCTGTTGTCCCTCTTATTCTATCTTTTTTCCAAGAAATGCCCCGTACGTTTCTATTTTGTTCATCTAAGTCCCTAACATTTTCCCTTTGTGTTTATCCGCGGGATTCATCCACAGGCCTGCCAGAGAAGACCAAGGGTATTGTAAAACCCAACACATTGACGAATAATCATCTTTATGCATCGATATAACGTTCATGATCGTTTTTCTGAAAATTGAATTGATCTTTATATATATGTATAGGGCATCATTATAGCGCATTCGAATAATGTGCATGTAAGTAACGTAAACGTCAAGGACAGTCCGAATTTCCAAATGTCGTTCGAGAGCTCGAGGTGGGTTTACGTCAAGGATATCACCATAACTGCAGACGGTGATAGCCCTAACACCGACGGGATTCACCTCCAACGCTCTCAAAACGTGTTCATCTCCGATTCAGTTATCCAAACAGGTAGGTAGATCTTATATGATTTTGCACCCCCTTTAGTTTTTTTTGAGCTAATAATAAAGTTAATTAAGTCTATTCTAAAATGTTATTAAACTATGTTATATATGCAGGTGATGATTGTATTTCTATAGGTGATGGATCGAAGCACGTTAACATTAGCAAAATCTCATGTGGTCCGGGACATGGAATAAGGTCTTTACTTGTATCTTACTATCATTTCACAATTTGTTATATATATATATATATATATATATAATTAAGATCATTACCCAATTTAACTTATATATATACACTAATTTGTTTTCATTTGCACAAAATTAGCATCGGGAGCCTAGGGCGAAATGGAAACAAAGAAGCAGTTGAATCTGTTTATGTCCGAGACTCGACTTTCAGAAGCACAACTAATGGAGTTAGGATCAAGACATGGCAGGTACGTAGGCACACCGTCGATTTTCTATGCATATATACCTAGCCCCTTGTAATTATCAAATATATTTATGATTTTTTTTTTTTTGGTTTAGGGAGGAAAAGGGCACGTTCGAAATGTTGTTTTTGAACACATTACGTTTCACGAATCAAGTCGGCCCATCATCATCGACCAATATTATTGCCCTCATTCCCACTGCAAAAACCATGTGAGTATATATTATCTATACATATACCTTATAAGAATATTTAGAGATTAGGGGTTATAACTAACGCATATTGTTGATGCGAATGTATACGCAGACGTCGGCAGTGAGAATAAGCGACATCACGTACAGACACATACACGGGACATCGGACGAGAAGGCCTCGGTGCAGTTGCTGTGCAGCGAAACGGTGCCGTGCAGAAACATATACATGTCCGACATTAACTTATACACGACACGTAAGGAGAATGACAGATCGTCTCGTGACGATCATGGCTCTTTATCAGAGTGCATAAACGCTAGAGGGTTATCTAATGGTATCGTGAGGCCACGAGTGCCTTGTCTCCGTGCCGAGAGGCATTAGCCCAAAGCCGTTTTTATTATTATTATTTATTTATTTTGTTTTTTTAATTTGGGTTTATTTGCATATTTGTTAGTTTTTTTGGTTTTCTACGGGAATATATATATATTTTTTTTATCGTTTCTATTGTTTTCTTTGAATTTATCTTTTTTTTTAATCTCGGCATTATTATGAATAGCAACTTACGTTTTTGTAAACATTTTGAGATACGAACCGAAATGTTATTGAAAATTTACCAAAAATAAAAAAATATTATTCAAAATATAAGCTTTTCATACAATTTAAATGGCAGCAATATGTGATTTAATTATTCCTAGGACTAATATGATACCATTATAATCGTTTTTATTTTATGATAGAATGATTAGTTTTTTTATAATCAGAACTGATCATATTGATCCACCCTATATGTATATGTTTTTCTTCAATTAATTTGGTTTTTAAAAATTATGATTATTTAATATTCATATCAAATTCCATTATATATTATTAGATTTGATTTTGTATATGTAATTCAGTTATAAATTATTATGATGTTTTACAGGCTGAAAAAGTTTTGTGATAAATTTTAGAATGTTATCAAGATGAATTTTTACAGATGTTATCAACATGTCAAATATGTCTCCTTATGAAAACGACCAATTATCAGATTCATAATAAAAGATAAATTCTTTTTTTTTAAAATTCTTCCAAAAAGAAAGAATATATTGTCTATCTCTTATTCACCTGTAATTCCACCAAGTTAGTTGCCTACAGTTTATCAGTTAGGTGAACACCCAAAAAAACAAAAATTCCACGTGGCACTATTTACAAGAGTGTGTCACATAACAAAAGTTGTGTTCCTCTAGGTGTAACGATTGCACAACTCTCCCAAAGTCTATCCATACATATATATTATTTACATAAAATCATTATTATTTAATCGTAATTATTATTTGTAAAAAAAAGGATGCACTATTTTTTTATAACCAAATATAATTTAAATTTTGGAGAATCTTAAGCATTAAAGAAAAATGAAAACATCAGCACACTCGAAAAATTATAATATCTGAAAACTAATTCTATATAACATATCAAGTTTCAGTTAATTGTTTTTTATTGTTATTTTTTATTTTTATTTCTGTGTGGGGCCTTTTTCTGGCCCGAGCTGCCAATTGCTGACCACTTTGCCCCTCTCTCTCTCTCCTCTTCGCTATTGCTGCCCTTTCGGGGCTCTCACTGTCTGTGTCTCTCTCTCTAGCTCGCGCACGCAAAAAATTCCCCTTTTGACTAAAAGCTTTTCACAGCTAATTTCCATTTGATTTTGTTCTCTCCGTTCACTTAAATCTTTGGTTATCATCTGTTTTTCTCCAACAATTAGGCAGCTCATATCACTTCAACTTAAGTGGCTTGCTATTTGCCTGCATCAGTTCTCACCTGGATCTCTGTCTGTCTTCCATTATCTGTAGAATTCAGGGACAAAAGATCAAACTTTCTTGTGTAGACGAAGAGGGTTTTTTTTTTTTAAAAAAAAAATTCTTCCCCTGATCTTTCTATTGGTTTGTCTCGATCACCTTTATTTTTTTGTCTTCTGGGTCTGATTACGGGTGCATCTGTTTCTCTGTCTCATTTATGTTCTACGCAAATAATTGAGTATTGTTTGATTTGATGAGAGGGAGAGGGCTGTTTAAGGGGTAATCGTAGTGGGTTTTCGTTTGACCTTGTCTGTTTGGTGTTTTCTGCGTATAGGGTATGGTGATTTGATCAGTATTAGGGTTTTTTATCAGATGGGTACTGGGTCAGACTCTGTTAAAGTTGTGGAGAAATTGGGAGTGGAGACATCTGAAAAAAGGGAGAACTTGGATAATAGCAAGAATGATAAGAGGAAAGATTTGGATGAGAGGGAAAGTGGGTTTTGGTTCAGAATTAAGTTCATGTTTGGTTGCATCCCTTGTAGATCAAAAGTGGACAGTTCCATGAGTGCCATCACCATCACTGGTAATCTCCCTCTCTCTCTCTCTCTTCAAATATATACATGTTACTTAATTTGTATCTGTGTTTTTGTTTAGATGTCAAGGTTTTGCCTTTCCTTTTAAAGATTTTGACTTCTAGTTTCCCAAGTTAGTAGCTTTTAAGATGTTGGAGATTGAGAATTTGGTTTCCTTGGATGTAACATGGAATTGAACTCCAAACGGTAAATCATTGTGTGAAAGATTTTTATGTTTCTGGGTCAGTAGGCTTTCATATGTTCCAATTGGTTACTTGATTCAATATAGATGACCATTAGTCAATGTTGAGATCCCGTTTGATCATCCACTGGAAATTTCTTGCCATGCGGATTTTGGCCGAGTTTAACACCTCTTGTGCTAAATCTGAAGCTTCTTTCTCCTTCATAGTTAACATCTTCTTTATTGTGTTCCTTATTTTAATTGGAAACGAAGAACAGGAATTTGCGGGTAGAATTCTGTGATTAGGCGGTTTACATTCATGGAGTCAGTGATATATAGTTTTCTTACTGAGCCAATGTGAGATGTTATTTTGCCCATAGTATTTACACAGTCGCAGGTTAGAGTTTGTTCTAGCTATGCATTTCAACTAGTGTGCGCATATGGGATGTGACTATCATGATAGTTTTCTCTTGTGATTATTGATTACTAACTTGGGATTAAGGCGATGTTGTTGTTGTTGTTGTTGTATGATTATTGATTACTCATTCTTTTTTTTAATTCAAAGTAGCAGAAAGTAAACCTGCTAATGAGAAACAAAAAGATCAACCAGCTCCCTCTACGCCGAATAGCAATGCAGAGAGCACTTCTTCGACGCCTCTAATCAGCGGGGAACTGAAGGTTTCTTCTGAACTAAGGAAGTTCATGTTTAACGACCTCAAGTTAGCCACTAGGAATTTCAGACCAGAGTCTCTTCTCGGTGAGGGTGGCTTTGGTTGTGTCTTTAAAGGATGGATAGAAGAGAATGGAACTGCCCCTGTCAAGCCCGGTACCGGTCTTACAGTGGCTGTCAAAACGCTGAACCCAGATGGGCTTCAAGGTCACAAGGAGTGGCTTGTATGATCAACCTCTATCTCTTATTTTCGGAAATTTCTATGTTTTTACTATGGGTTACAATCTCATATTGCTTCCATTTCTTTTGATAGGCTGAGATTAACTTTCTAGGAAACCTTGTCCACCGCCATCTAGTTAAATTGGTTGGTTATTGCATTGAAGATGATCAGAGGCTCTTGGTCTATGAGTTTATGCCTCGAGGAAGTTTAGAGAATCACCTCTTCCGGAGTATGTGAACGATGAACTCACGCACACTTTGTCTTTCTCTGGACTTGTACCAATTCCTAGATGGTTTAATTGCAAGCGTTCTTTATGATTTAGGAACACTGCCACTTCCTTGGGCTGTCAGAATGAAGATAGCACTTGGTGCGGCCAAAGGTCTTGCCTTTCTTCACGAGGAGGCAGAGAAGCCAGTCATATATCGCGATTTCAAGACTTCGAATATCTTGTTAGATGCGGTATGCAAGTCGAATTTCAACAAGCTGCAAGCTTTTTTCCCCGCTTCTTACACACCCCTTATTTTAAAAACGGTGTTCCTGTTTCAGGACTATAATGCGAAGCTTTCAGATTTCGGTCTTGCGAAAGATGCTCCCGACGAGGGTAAATCCCACGTATCAACCCGGGTCATGGGAACTTATGGTTATGCTGCCCCCGAGTATGTTATGACTGGTAAGGAGGCATCATTTCCTTTTTTCGTTACTGCATTATTGCATTCTTACTTGACTAGATATGCCAAATTGGGAAAAGAAATGATCTTTCAGGTTCTGAAATGGTTTTATATACCAATCTTGTATATACTATGATCAGTGAAACTTAGCTTCCTAAACATGATATGTTTCTTCTCGTGTTGAATGGTTTAATAGTTGTGTCATTGGACTAAAGAAACTTTCTTTCGGTATCAGGGCATCTGACATCCAAGAGTGACGTATACAGCTTCGGAGTAGTTTTACTCGAAATACTAACCGGGAGAAGATCCATGGATAAAAATCGCCCAAACGGGGAACAAAACTTGGTTGAATGGGCGAGACCACATCTCTTAGACAAGAAAAGGTTCTACCGGTTATTAGATCCTCGGTTAGAGGGCCACTTCTCAATCAAAGGTGCCCAGAAGGCTACACAACTCGCTTCACAATGCCTTAGCCGAGACTCGAAAGCTAGACCCAAGATGAGCGAAGTCGTCGAAGCCCTGAAGCCTCTACCGGGTCTTAAAGACTTTGCCAGCTCTTCTCATTCGTTCCAAACCATGCAGCCCATGTCCAAGAATGGGTTCAGAACACAAGGAGGAGGGTTTGTGTCGAGAAATGGACAACCTTTGAGGAGCTTGTCCAGCCTAAACGTTCCTCAGGCATCACCTTATAGAAATTCTCATCAGTCACCAAAGCCCAAGGGGAATGAACAATGACTCCTCCCCATATTTTCATTATGTAACAGATGTGTTTCTGATCAAGAGCATCCAGTTCAGTGGATCGGCTGACAAGCTTTATCATTGGGAGACTCATCCTTCCTGTTTCATAGTTGCTTCTGAATCAAAGACAGCTCGGGTGGATGGGATGTTTACTCAGGTATTTTGTAACTGCCCCCGGAAAACTGCAGCTCTTGTGTTCTGAGAAGCATAGCTCGAAGAAGACGATGGTTTGAGAATATTGAAGTTGAGCAAACCGGGCAATATCTCGCCATAGAAGCTGAAAGAATGATGTTTGTTTTGTGAAATTTCATGTGTAGAGTGTAAAGTTTGACAGAATGTATAGTTCCTTGAAGAAAAACCATTTGACTATGCATCTTGGTTTTGTTCGGTTTGGTTCGGTTCAGTTTGGTTTGCTTGTTAGGAGTTGTTTGAAATAGTATAGATGAAAACCATGTCATGTTTTATACCAAACACGCCATTGCTAATCCGTTTCGGTCAATGGATTTTGTTGGAATCAAAAGCGTAACGCTTAGAAGAACCAACGCCAAACCGGACCAAATAAATAACCGGAAGAGTATCAGATCGGACCGGAAATCGTGTTCGGTTATGTTGAGTCCTGAAACACGACGTCGTTTTAACTGCACTTATGTCTCGTCTTCGTTGCGGCCAGTGTTGGAAGTTTCAGTTCTTCGCAAAACCCCTCCAATGAGTTCTCTGTACAGGGCCTCTAAAACCCTAAAATCAACGAGACAGGCGTTTTCCGTGTTCTATAACTCATCGAAATTGAACCTATTTTCCTTGAGATTTCAGCGTGTCCCGTTACTTTCAAGATTGAGCGACCTTCGTTGTTTCGGATTGGACCAAGCTTTTGGCTTCAGCTCCGATTCCCGCCAAAATGCCCGAGAAACCGCCATTGATTTGACCCAGTATTCTTCGGAGAAGATCCGCAATTTCTCGATTATTGCTCATGTGGATCATGGGAAGTCGACTTTGGCTGATCGTCTCCTGGAGCTCACTGGCACCATCAAGAAAGGCCATGGACAGCCCCAGTACCTCGACAAATTGCAGGTATTTCAAGATTTGATTTCCACTAGATGCGATGTTTTCCGAAATGGGTCTAGGGTAATGTTTAACAAAGCAAAAAATTTCGGATTTTAAGCGAGTGCTGTTTGATTCCAATTATTAGACGGCACTATGAATAACTTAGCTCTTATTCATAATTTTCAGCAGAAAAATCTACTCTTGAGATTCTGCAGAAGTACTCAATTTTGAATCCGTTTGCTTTGTTGTGGTGTGAAACTAAGTAGAAGTTGATGTTGTTTAGGTAGAGAGGGAGAGAGGAATCACTGTGAAAGCTCAGACAGCTACTATGTTCTTTGAACACAAACTGGAAGATCATGAAGCAACTGGTTTTCTCCTGAACTTAATCGATACCCCGGGTCACGTGGATTTTAGCTACGAGGTCTCGAGATCGTTATCAGCCTGCCAAGGAGCTCTTCTTGTCGTTGATGCAGCTCAAGGTGTCCAAGCACAGACAGTAGCCAACTTCTATTTAGCCTTTGAATCTAACCTCACGGTCATACCCATCATAAACAAAATTGATCAACCAACAGCTGACCCGGAACGTGTAAAATCTCAACTAAAATCGATGTTTGACCTCAGCCCGAGTGACGTCCTTTTAGTGTCTGCTAAAACAGGGCAGGGGCTTGAACAAGTCCTTCCTGCGGTGATACAACGGCTACCTCCCCCTCCCGGAATCAGTGCCTCACCTCTACGGATGCTTTTGTTCGATTCCTTTTATAACGAGTATAAGGGTGTCGTCTGCTATGTTGCTGTTGTTGATGGAATGCTGAGTAAAGGGGATAAGGTCTCATTTGCTGCAACAGGACAATCGTATGAAGTATTAGATGTCGGGATTATGTATCCTGAACTTACTTCTACTGGAGTGCTTCTTACAGGACAAGTAGGTTATATAGTGACAGGCATGCGATCCACAAAAGATGCACGTATCGGAGACACGATATACAGAACAAAAACCACTGTCGAGCCGCTTCCAGGTACTATTGTCGTGTGCTATTATTATTCTACTAGGAGCGGATCTCCATTTCTTTGTTGGTATGGTAGAGCTCTTTAAGATCTTATTGGACAAGCAAGAAATTTGATAGCTTTTCGACAAGGTGTTTAACATTTTTAATTTTCTGAAATGTAGGTTTCAAGCCGGTGAGGCATATGGTGTTCTCGGGCGTGTATCCGGCAGATGGGTCAGATTTTGAAGCACTTAACCATGCCATAGAGAAACTTACGTGCAATGATGCAAGCGTCTCTGTGACTAAGGAAACGAGTACAGCTCTGGGGATGGGATTCAGGTGCGGTTTCCTGGGGTTGCTTCACATGGACGTGTTCCATCAGCGGCTCGAGCAAGAATATGGGACTCATGTAATTTCCACCATCCCCACGGTCCCATACATCTTCGAGTACTCAGATGGAAGCAAGTTACAAGTGCAGAATCCAGCTGCATTGCCCTCGAACTCCAAGCAACGGGTAACTGCTTCTTGGGAGCCAACTGTGATAGCCACAATCATCCTTCCGAGCGAGTACGTAGGAGCTGTGATCAACCTCTGCTCCGACCGAAGAGGGCAGCAACTGGAGTACACATTCATAGATTCTCAGCGAGTTTTCATGAAATACCAGCTACCCTTGAGAGAAATAGTGGTGGATTTCTACGATGAGTTGAAGAGCATAACTTCGGGTTACGCCTCGTTTGACTACGAGGATGCGGAGTATCAGGAATCGGAGCTGGTGAAGCTGGACATCCTCTTGAACGGGCAGCCGGTTGATGCGTTGGCCACCATCGTACACAACCAGAAAGCGTACAGAGTGGGGCGTGAACTGGTGGAGAAGCTGAAGAACTTCATAGAGAGGCAGATGTTCGAGGTGGTCATACAGGCTGCGGTCGGGTCAAAGGTGATAGCGAGGGAGACGGTATCGGCGATGAGGAAGAACGTTCTGGCGAAGTGCTATGGAGGGGATGTCACCCGGAAAAAGAAGCTTCTGGAGAAGCAGAAAGAAGGGAAGAAGAGGATGAAACGAGTTGGTTCAGTGGATATCCCGCAAGAAGCATTTCAACAGATACTCAAAGTGTCTTGAAAACAACCGCTGTTTGTGGGAAACAGCAAAAAGCCTGGGACTTTGGTGAACAGGTGCACAATTTTCACACAAGAATATTGGTGGAGGATTCCTAGTTTTATTTGATTTGTACAATAGCATTGCTGGTCGATTCTAAATAAATTTTGGATTCAATTAAAGCGTTGTTATTGTATTCGATGGTTTTTTAATGTTTTTTTTTATGGCAAAAAAGGGAAACAAATATTTATTAGAAATGAAAAAAAATTATGAAAAATCAGTGGAGATGCGGGGTATCGATCCCCGTACCTCTCGCATGCTAAGCGAGCGCTCTACCATCTGAGCTACATCCCCTCGATGTAATAACAATTAAAACCAAATTGTAATCACCGGTTCAATCATGTCAATCCATATCAAGGGTAAGATCGTAATTTACGTTCTTTGTGCAATTACAAACAAATCTCAGCTTCAATTTTATTCTGCGTCGCATCTGAATCATATTCATCGGAGAGGAGCATTTGATCTCTGGCTTCGATTTCTCGTCTTCAGATCTCTCCGACAATCTCTGAGATCTGAAAATCTGTAATTTCGTCTGACGGGGAAGAATAAGAATTAGAAGATGTACGGATTCGAGGCTTTGACGTTCAACATCCATGGCGGTTACTTGGAAGCGATCGTGAGGGGCCACCGCGCCGGACTCCTCACCGCCGCCGATTACAACAATCTGTGCCAGTGCGAAACCCTGGATGACATCAAGATGCATCTCTCCGCCACCAAATACGGTCCTTACCTCCAAAACGGTGAGTTTTCCTCGATCTCTCTGTCTAAACGGATATTGTGTCGAATTCAGTGTCAATTTTGTTGGAGTCGCTGATCTCTGTTTAATTTCCTTTTGTCGTATTCGGGTTCTGGGTTTTAGGCATTCTAATTTGTCAAAAACCTCTATTTTGAAGTGGGACTTCGCGAATACACCCCGAGTTATGTAAAATTGGCGATTTTCAGTTGCAGTTTGATATGTAATGTTAGTCATTTGGTGAAACGGATCTGAAAATCTGGTGTTTAGACGGGAAGAACTAAAATCTCCCCTAGAACTTGGTGCGATCGGAGTTTTGTTCGGTTTTCACACGGTGTTGCTAGTTTTCTCTCTCAAGTCTTCACTAATCGGTAATGGAGTCTTACGCCCTGCACGGATGGAAATTACTGGATTGGCATATGATCCTTTCATCCACATGTTTGATCATTGATATCTTTTACTTGGGATCTCAGTTCTGTCAAATTTTTGTCTGCATAGTTGGATTTTTTTATGAGTTCTGATTCATTTTTCGTATTTACGAAGACAATGCCTTGCAAAAAAAAATGTTCTTTATATATTCTAAAGCTGTTCTTTGCTTGCCTGCAGAACCTTCTCCCCTGCATACCACAACAATCGTGGAAAAGTGCACCCTTAAATTGGTTGATGATTATAAGCATATGCTGTGCCAAGCGACCGAGCCTTTGTCAACCTTCCTAGAGTACATCAGGTGAGTTAGCTATTGCTGTTTCTTGAATAATATGGTGTTTTTAGATCACTTCTGTCGGTTGTTTTTTCCTGCGAGGGCATACATATGTGTTGTCCAAAGAAGTCTTAAGGGTTTTGAGCCTAGGATTTAGCCCTTTTAAAGTGTGTCAGGGTAGAACAGATCAGTTCAAAAGTTTTACTTTCTGAAGTTCCATCTTAGAATACTTACAATGAATTTGAGCAGTTAGTCAGTTCAGCATGTTGAGTGGCGGGATTTTGGTGACAATCTTGTAAGTTGAATGAAAGATTATGTTTTTAGCTTGCTTATTTCCTGAATTCTGTTCAGTATATGATCTAACATTACAAGAGGTTGGCCTTTAAGATACTGAATTTTTATTCTATAATACTGTAATACAGATATGGTCACATGATTGACAATGTCGTACTGATTGTGACCGGAACGCTGCATGAGAGAGATGTTCAGGAGCTGCTAGAGAAATGCCACCCTTTAGGCATGTTTGACAGGTATCAGCATTGACCGTTTTGCATCTTCAATATCTCCTCTCCTAGCTCCCTAGATACTTTTTTTTAAATCTTCTCTGTAATATTTTTTCCCTCATGCCTTTTCTGTTTCCAGTATTGCTACACTAGCAGTTGCTCAAAACATGCGGGAGCTCTACAGATTGGTGCTTGTGGACACTCCTTTGGCTCCATACTTTTCTGAATGCTTAACGTCAGAGGTACGTGGTTGAAGTATTTAATGTTTCACTTGACGTTTACAAATTTTTGCCATTGTTTTCTTATAGTTGAATACATCGATCCATTATGACCATAGTTTTCTTTGAAGCTCACCTGCCTGGTCTAGCCTTCCTACTATATGGTATTCATATCCATTCTGTTGACTTTGTAGGATTTGGATGACATGAACATAGAGATTATGAGGAACACCCTCTACAAGGCATACCTTGAGGATTTTTACAAGTTCTGCCAGGTGACTCCTAAGTCATAGCCCATTGTGACAAGATATGAAGATTTCCTCTACTTTCTCACCTGTGTTTGCTTGGGTTTCCAAAACAGAAACTTGGTGGTGCAACAGCAGAGATCATGTCTGACCTTTTGGCCTTTGAAGCTGACAGAAGGGCCGTGAATATAACCATCAACAGGTAATACTGGCAGAACACTTTCTACTTTCCTGATGCATGACAAGACAACATGTGATATTGTCACTATTACTTTTCTTTCTTTATGCCTCTCGGCACTTAAAAGGCTTCTTTTTGTCTTTTATGCAGTATTGGCACTGAGCTCACAAGAGAAGACCGAAAGAAACTGTACTCTAACTTTGGTCTCCTGTAAGATCTCTAATTGTCTTGTAGTCTTCGTTTGTACAGTTGCATATCTTTCAACATCAGTCAATATCACCGTTGTTTGGTTTTGCTGTTACAGCTATCCATATGGTCATGAGGAGCTTGCAGTCTGTGAGGATCTAGATCAGGTTAATATACGAGCTTATATCTTGTGATATATATAATATATTACGTTTCAAAAATACCCTTTTGATTGAGCTCATGCTCTACTGTGTTTAGGTTCGTGGTGTTATGGAGAAATACCCTCCGTATCAAGCCATTTTCTCCAAGTTATCCTATGGAGAGAGCCAGATGCTGGACAAGGCATTTTATGAAGAAGAGGTCAGAAGGCTATGCCTAGCCTTCGAGCAACAGGTTTGTTTTTTCGCTTCAATGAACCAGATAAGCTATGTATTTCCCAGCAGTTCTATTTAGTTGAACTTGAAACTTAGTCATCTTCGTTCTAAGAGGTCGGGTTTAGTTCACGGAGCAAAACCTGCCTTTTAGGATTGAAACAGTTGCTAAAGTTGATGTCTTGTTAGCTGCTATAAAATGTTGAGGAGGATGCTTTCTTGATCATGAATTGACAATTTTAAAACAAGAAATGATTCTCTATTGCAATGTCAGTTAACTAAACTGGTTGTTTGCATAACAAAACCCGAGTTTTTTTGCAGTTCCATTACGCGGTGTTCTTTGCGTACATGAGGTTGAGGGAGCAAGAGATCAGGAACTTGATGTGGATATCTGAGTGTGTGGCCCAGAACCAGAAGTCCAGGATCCATGACAGTGTTGTCTTCATCTTCTGATTCTGAATATGGAGAAAACATATGAGAAATCTGTAATGTTTTCCTGTTGGAGTATGAATCCTTTTGGTTTGAGCAGTTCTGCTGCTGTAACATCTTTGCTCACACATACTTTCACTTTGGTCTGAGCGAGTGTTTGTATTCATTGAGAAGCCTCCGCCCCAATAAGAAGAATCTCCATATTCGTTTGTCTCTTTGTTTGTTCTTTGCCATTTTGCTTGGTTCTTGTAATAATAAATAAACTCTTGTAATTTTTCATTTTCTATTTTCATATTTTGAACCTTTGAAAAATTAGATGCATGTGATTTTGAAGGTTTATTATCTAAAGTTTGATCTGAAAAAATTACAAAAAACAAATAATCATTTCATCCATAAAATGGCAAATAATATTAATTCACAGAAAAAAAATAAACGGTTATAAATAAAAGATATGCGTAGTTACTGTGTTACTTACTGGTGGTGCGGATCAAAATGACAATCCCTATTTTCTCCCCCAATTTGACATTTTGACTAGATCGAGAGTCCTCTCCCCTTCTCTCTCTCTCCCCATGATTCCCCACCGCACCCCCACAGGTCGCGGCGGCGGAGCTTTCGCCGCCGCCTCCGTGGTCGCCCTTCTGCTTCTTCTCTCCCCTGCTGCATGCTCAGCCCCGATCCCAGGGCTCGACTCCTTCTTGACCCAGCAATTCCATGTCGACCCGAAAGCATCCAACGACTCCTTCGGATCTCTTCCGTCCTCTCTCAAGCGATCTCTCTCTTCTTCTTCCTCTCCTCTTCACTTGCCCTCTCTCTTGCAGTCTCTCCTCTCTCTCTCAGTCTCTGTCTCTCTCCACGTCCGTTTCGTCGGCGACTCCTTCCCTTCCTCCGCCGCTTCCACCTTCTCATCCTTTCTCTCAGCTGCCGTCTCCGACGACAACTTCCATGTCATCTCACCCTCTCCGGATTCCGCCTCTAACCACCGTCTCACCGTCTCTCACTCTCTCCACCTCGACGCCTCCCTCTCGCCTCCTTCTCTCTCTTCCCGCCTCGACGCGACCCTCAAAACCCTGATCGCCGGAACCACCTCCTCCCTCCGATCTCAGCTCCTCTCCGTTCCGTACGGCCCGATCGATGAGATCGTGAGGCACGAGTATGAAAAGGAGAAGCATGGTGATGGCGGCGTCTACATTTACTTGATCTCGCTGGGGTCTCAGTCCAAACCCTACGCGTACAGCTACACCGATGGAGATTCGTCTCCTGGGTTCACGAAATGCTCGGGGAGCATCTGGACCGGGAAAGAGCGTTATCTCTGGATTGATCTCTCTGCAGGACCTGTGGATTATGGACCGGCGTTGTCCGGCGATGGGGTTCTGCCGAGAGGTGAATTCCACCCACTCGCGGCCTTCCATGGCCGTCCCAAGTCGCAGAAGGCTCTGCTCGCGGACCTGGCATCGCTTGTGTACAATGCGTATCAGGTACTGATCGTTCCTTCTTTGAGAATACCGGTGTACTTCGAGGATTCGTTGGTAGTTCAGTTTGTTCATATATATGGAACGGAGCATAAGGATCCGAGTGGCTTAGATTGGGAGTTTGTGAAGAGAACGTTCATGGATGAAGTTAACAATGGTGGGTTGTTGCTAGGCGAACAGAAATTGAGCTTCAAAAGCTATTCTGTGAATTACAGAGAATGCCCGCTTTGTTCCTTTGCTGTGTCACGCGCTACTAACTCATATACGTCTAGGTTCTTGTTCGATAACTACACCTTGATTGTGAACGAGTATTTGGATTCGAAGCATATGCATCGGACCTTGTCTGAATCAGCAGAAGAGCTTAAGAGAGTTGCAGGGATTCATGAGGAAGAGGGTTTTGCAAGGGTTTTACCTGTTTATGTGTTTGATCTAGACATCAACATGCCTTTGCTGATCGATAGGTATCATCAATCTGTTGCTTTCAGAGACATGGTCATAGCCGTTAGAACGAGAGGGATGCAGACAGTGAGTGACTACACCTGCAATGGCCGACATGTGTTTGTACATACAAGGGACTTAGAACGACCTCTTGTCGGTTCTATACTTCAGAGCATGTGGGGTGTATCTCCGACCCATCTGACATGGAGCCCGAGGCATAACTCAACTCTGGTAGACTACACTTGGAGTGTCGGCCAGACACCCTTTGGGCCATTCTCCGATGTTTCGTCCTTATCCTTTGTTCAGAAGGACGCAGCTAAGAGAAACATTCTTCTGACATCGTTGAATGCCACTATCTCTAGCGCCATCGACATTCTTGATTCGGTCATGGCTCATGGAGGAGACAGGAACCTTCTGAGACAGAACCGGAACACAGAGTTCATCCAAAGGTGGAGTCTTTTCAAGTACAAACTGGAGAAAACGGTTTCTGCTCTGTCACACTTTGATTTCGAGATGGCATTGTTCTATTTGAGATCATTGGATCACGACTTGTACTCCATGCATTCTATTGTGTACATGGCGTCACAAGAGATAGAAGCGAGCTTGAACTGTTTCAAGGACCCACCATTCCCATGGGGACCGGTAACAGTGTCTGGGTTAGGGTTAATGGCTCTGGTTTACGTCTACTCGAGAAGAGATAAGCTCTTCAGGAGCAAAAGGAAACAGTTCTGAAGTGTTGGCAAGGGGAGAGGATGAAGACTGGTGCATTGGTTATATGTTTGGTATCGGGCTGATATAACTTGTACTATGCGCTTTCCTCATTTTGTAACGTTGAAACCAAAAGATTTTCCGGTTTTATTGGTTATCTTTTTATTAAATTAGACACAAAAGCCATGAGGATCTTGAATGTGGATGCAATGTTCTGGTTTGTAGGTTATTTAAAAGGAACTTGCTTATGCGCTAATAAAACCCGAGGTTATTTCCTCTCAAAAGGTTCATTGCAGTTTTTGGAGATAAATTAAAAAATGAATTAAATTTAAAATACTGAGAGCTAAATTATAGGAGTGGGCTTTTGATTTGGTTATTTATAGACTGATAATGATAATGTAATTGAATCGAATTTGACATAATTATCAGATATTGTTGTGAAATTGAATTTGAACTGAATATAAATATAATTGAAAAATTCCTATTTTTTTTTAAAAATTATATATTTATTGTTAAAAATCGAATCCAACTGAATTGGACATAAAAGCCTGAAGGATATAAACAATTTAAACGTAACCGGATGAAACCAAGACCAGAAACGAAATATGATATATCCACCTCTATGTAAATATAAATTGGCAAAACATTTTCCTAAATTTTGTTCAGAATTTTTGATTAAAATAAAATAGGAATTGTTACACCGCCACAGGCATCAACCATCAAGGGCTCGTATATATTTCGCGCTCAGAAGCTGCAAGACCATATTCCGCATTTTCACCTCTACACGCTCACAGAGGCACGCGAAGGGCTCTTCGATCCTCCTTTGCCTTCGGTTTTTCTCCAGTCTCTCTCATCGGCGATTTGGTTTCTTCGGTCGGAGCCATGACCGACGGCCATCTCTTCAACAACATCTCTCTTGGCGGTCGCGGAGGCACGGTGCGTCATCTCACTCTCCATCTTCCCTCTCTCTCTCACTCTCGTCTTTCGATTGTAGTTCAGTTTCTCGCTCATTTCGCTTGTTTCGAAACCCTAGTTTCTTGAAATCGACGCCGTCTTCGTTGTCTTGAACTTTGGATTGTTTACTGTTGTTTCGGAAACCCTAATTTTTTTATAGATAGCCCATGGATTTGGGAAATCTAACTTTTTTCTGAGAAAAATATATTTGAGAATGGTTTTGTCGACGAAATTTTCAGAATAAGAGAAGGTCTGGCGTTTTTAATGATTCCCCTTTCAAATGTTGATTCATGAACCATAGACTCCGTCCACTTCTATTTGCCAATTTAGAACATTGAACAGAAGGGCAATGGTTTTTGGGACTTGTTGGAGACTAGTGCTTATTTGGTTGCCATTTGGTTCTGCAGAACCCTGGACAGCTTAAGATTTACTCTGGAGGTATTTTATGGAAGAAGCAAGGAGGTGGTAAGGCTGTGGAAGTCGATAAATCTGATATTGTAGATGTCAACTGGATGAAGGTTCCGAGGACAAATCAGTTGGGTGTTAAAACCAAAGATGGGTTGTACTATAAGTTTGTTGGATTTAGGGATCAGGATGTTGCAAGTTTGACCAACTTTTTCCAGAACACATGTGGGATAACGCCTGAAGAGAAACAACTATCTGTCAGTGGTCGCAATTGGGGAGAAGTGGATTTAAATGGCAATGCACTGACATTTATGGTAGGAGGAAAGCAAGCGTTTGAAGTTTCCCTAGCTGATGTTTCACAGACTCAGCTTCAAGGGAAAAATGATGTCATCCTGGAGTTTCATGTTGATGATACCGCCGGTGCCAATGAAAAAGACTCTTTGATGGAGATAAGTTTCCACATTCCCAATTCCAACACGCAGTTTGTTGGTGACGAAAATCGCCCCCCTGCTCAAGTCTTTCGTGACAAAATCTTGTCTATGGCTGATGTTGCTCCTGGAGCTGAAGAAGCTGTTGTTACATTCGAAAGTATTGGAATTCTCACACCCAGGTACAGATCTTGGCTTTGATCCTCTTTTAGCTATAAGTTCATCATTTCTTCAGTTGTTCTACTATGGTGGTTGATCTTCTTAACAACTTGTATTCTTACAGGGGTCGGTACAATGTGGAACTTCACCTTTCATTTTTACGTCTGCAAGGTCAAGCTAATGACTTCAAAATCCAATACAGCAGTGTTGTCCGGCTGTTTTTACTTCCAAAGGTAATTCTACTTATTTGTACCTCTTGTTGTTTTACTGATGCTAGCATTTTAAGGGCAATTAATTCATCATAATGGGTGAATATTCTCATTTAGTGGATCTCTTCTTATCGATGTTGTGCTTGAGCAGTCAAACCAGCCGCACACATTTGTTGTTATTTCTCTTGATCCACCAATCAGGAAAGGTCAAACATTGTACCCTCATATCGTGATGCAGGTAAAAGTCCACTTATTCCTTCCGGTTCTCTTGAGTTATTGTGCTCCTTTTCCTTTGGCCTTTTTCTTTTGATAGATTTTACTGATCTGTTTTGCTTACCTTTCCAGTTTGAAACTGACTTTGTTGTCCAAAGCAAACTATCAATTAGTGATGATCTTTTGAATGCGAAGTATAAGGACAAGTTGGAGCCGAGCTATAAGGTATATGTCCGTAGTCTGCTCCCAAATTATTACTCATTAGTGAAATTTTTGTGCTAAGAGTATATGTTTGGGTCAGGGCCTCATCCATGAAGTATTCACTACAGTACTGCGTGGGTTATCCACTGCAAAGGTTACAAAACCTGGGAAGTTCCGCAGTGCCCAGGATGGGTATGCTGTGAAATCATCTCTCAAAGCAGAAGATGGTGTCCTCTATCCACTTGAGAAGGGCTTCTTCTTTTTACCTAAACCTCCAACGCTTATACTTCATGATGAGGTATATCTTCTGATATGTTACCTGATCGTGACTCGGCTAAGTTTTGATGATTGAATGGTTTGTTTAACCCATTTATTTGTTATTTATTAGATTGACTATGTGGAGTTTGAAAGGCATGCTGCCGGTGGATCAAACATGCATTACTTTGATCTTCTTATAAGACTGAAAACTGAGCAAGAACATCTGTTCCGGAATATTCAGAGGAATGAGTATCACAATCTTTTCGACTTCATGAGGTCAGCTCTAGCATTTTGTGGATTTGTGTTTGAACTTTTGAAGTTACCAAGAATGCATCTTAATAGTAGGAGTGAATAAATATCATCTCTTGCAGCTCTAAGGGATTGAAGATTATGAACCTTGGAGGTGCGGGAACTGCAGATGGTGTGGCTGCTGTTCTTCGGGACGACGATGATGATGCAGTCGATCCTCATCTTGAGCGTATCAAGAACCAAGCTGCCGATGAGAGTGATGAGGAGGCATGTGCTTTGTCCGACTAAATCAGTTTGAAATTTGATAATATAGCAAGTTCCTAAAAAATCAATCTTTTAAATTAATGCAGGATGAAGACTTTGTGGCAGAGGGAGGGGATGATGGTGGTTCACCGACCGATGATTCTGAGGAGGGAGAATCAGATGCTAGTGACAGAGAAGGAGAGAAGGAGGCAAGCTGTTTTCGCATATGCTTAAGCCCAATGATTTCGGAGGAGGAACTATTTGGTTGATACGTTGTTTATTCGTGAACTCATTTTTTCAGAAATCTAGCAAGAAGGAAACAAAGAAAGAGGCAGCATCTTCGTCCAAAGGGTTGCCACCTAAGAAGAAGCCAAGAGAAGGAGGGGAAGACAGTGGGAAGAAGAAGAAGCAGAAGAAGAAGAAAGATCCAAATGCTCCAAAGAGAGCAATGTCTGGGTTCATGTTCTTCTCTCAGATGGAAAGAGAGGTGAAGAGAGTTTTCATCTAATGTTATTTAATTTTGGAAGCTTTTACATAGTTGGGGGCAGTCATGGGATAAATGCAAAGTGATGGATTTCTCTGTTAAACATGAAATGATGCCAGAACATAAAGAAGAGCCACCCGGGAATAGCGTTTGGAGAGGTGGGGAAGGTGCTCGGAGACAAGTGGAGGCAGATGTCAGGTAACAAATCTCTCTCTCTATCTCTATATATATAGATATATGTATATATATCATAGTGTGTATGTGTATGTGTATGTGACAACAGCGGAGGAAAGAGAGCCGTATGAAGCAAAGGCAAGAGCAGACAAGAAGCGGTACAAAGATGAGATAAGTGGGTACAAAAACCCTCAGCCTATGAACATCGATGACTCTGGCAACGACTCTGACAGCCACTGATCGGTAATATCTAATATTCCACAGTGCCCTTCACTTTTTAGACTTTGAAGCCGCCCTGTTCAACAACACAACAAAAACGCAGGGTTCACCTTTGGGTGCATCCTTGTTTGTGTCCTTAGCTCATGTATGTTGAAATTTGACATTCGATCTTTCAGACGCATATAAATTAGAAAGGTTTTTATAGTTATGAAATGGGTTTTCGAGGTTCAACTTATGAGAGATTTTGTCTGACAGTCTTTTGGATGAGTTGTAGATTCCAAAAAAAAAAAAATAACAAGGGTGGGTGTGGGTGGGGTATTCGAATTTTTAGGTGCCCAGTATTGGTCTTGTCCTTTGCCTTTAGGTTACATGGTCGAAGTATTTCAGTTTCATGAATGTGGTCACCTCTCGAATGGTATTTATTAACCAAAATTTAAGCTGGGAACATCTTTTACATTCCTCAGTGTTACAAAATTCGTAAAAAAATTGAACAAATAGAAAACGTCAGGGAAAAAAAGAACGAGAAATAATGTACATAACTTCCAGGGACGTGAAAAAGAAGACGACTTGAGTCGTCTGTGACATCACCTGAGAAGCAATAAGGCGAAGCCAACCAGAACCCTCTGATCCTGTCTCTGTCCGGACACTAATCAAGTTCCGAGAGTCTTGGAGCAGATTCAACATGGCTTGCCGGCGAAGCAATGAAGGGAACCAGCGTACCTCGTCAGCATCGAAGCCGCCATTCCATGCTTGGCTCTGATTATGTCTTGTCTGGTGAACTTGTGCTTGAAGTTTGGATCTCCAGATTCCACGAAGTAGGCTCCGTTCATGAACACGTCCATCTCCGATTGCCACGTCCACCTTTTCCACTCCGATGGCTGCGCGTAATCTCTCTTCGTCACCTGATCATGGAGGTTGCAGAGGAAAATAAGACCCCCTCAGATCGTGTTTCTTGGGTCTAAAGAAACAATCTTTGCATCGCTAATCGCAGACCAAACCTGATCATTACAACATCTGCTAACCAATCCACCACAACCATCTCAATTTCAGATTTCAAAATCAAGATCTCAAAACGAGATCAATCTTGAATCATGGAGGTTGCAGAAGTAAAGGAGCCCAGAATCCATGAGATTCAAGATCTTGTTTCTTGGGTCCAAAGAAACAATCTTTAGATTGTTAGTCGCAGATTAAACCTGATCACACAGGTTTCTGAAGCAGAGACCGAGTGAAATATACAGAAAGCCATTACCTGTTTGGCCCAGGAGATGTGAGGAGGAGCGATGAAACGGTTGCCTTGGCTGAGGATGGTAGGGTGTTGGCTCCCACCGATGGCATACATTTCCCAGTGAGTGTAGTCATTGTTCACGACATGGACGAATCCCCATCTGCACCTCGGCATCCTCTGCACCAATCCTTTCCCGAAATGGTTATAAGCTATCGTCACTTGCATTATCGAATCCCCCGAGAATTGATCGCTCGCTCCCAACAATATCACCTGCCAGGAAAAAGAAAACCTCGGATCTCCATGAACAAGAAGCTGGTGAGAGTAACTTTTAGAGAGTTAAGGGTTTCTGGCTTTACATCGTTGTGATGTGTGAAGTGACAGTTAGATATGGTGATGGCTGTAGATCCTTGTATAACGTCGATCAGCCCATCTTGACACCTCGACATCGAGAGATGATCCAACCAAACGTTCGATGACCCGAAAACCGAAATCCCATCTCCGTCAGCCTGAGTTCTGATCCCGATATGGTCGACGGAGTCTCTGATCATACCTCCATTGCTAGTAACAATGTGATGAATATGCAGTCCATGTATGATCACGTTCTGAGCAAACTGTATCGTGATTCCGGCCCCGAACGCGATATGAACGTTCGCTCCTCGAGCATCGATCGTCTTGTTGCTTGTGATCATGAGCTCCTGCTTCAGCCTTATGTGCATGCTCCTTGCAAAGATTATCCACAAGGGTACCTTCTGGATCACCGCATGTCTAATTGTTCCAGGTTTGGGGTTCTGCATATCGTCGTCCGAGGGGTCGGTGACTTTGTAGAACTTTCCGGAAAATCCTCCGGTGGTCTTGTGGCCGAAGCCTCGGACGCAGGAGACGAGCCTCTTCCGGTTTTGGGCCCAATCGGCTTGGCAGCGCCAGCATTTGTCCACAGGGTTAGTTGCCTTGCATGGCCCTGCAATCTTCTTCCAGTTTCCCCTTCCTCTTAGGCTTCTTCTTGTGGATGTTGTGTTCTTGTTCGGTCTGTATCCTCCCTTTATACTTATCGTAGCATTTCTGCATTATGCATAGATATGTAACATTACATATAGGTTTCGTTAGACAACTAAATTACAGCCTGACATCGTCGATAATCATGCAACTATCTATCAGATTTCTCGGGAAAAAAAACCCTAAATCCATGTGATTAGCGTATAAACACAAGAACAAAAACAAAATGAGAAAGAACGTTATTACTGGTGAGAGGGATCGTTGTGATCGAATTTCTTGACGGTTTGGTCGAATTCTGGATCGTAGGCCCTGAGAGCTTGTTCTTGAGCTTCTGCTTCTTGCTTTCTCAGGTAATCATCGTACTCTCCGATTTTGCCTCTCAAGTTTGGAATCTGAGAGACAAAACATACGAGGAACACATAACACGCAATCATCTTCGTCTTCTCCATAATTTCTTTCTCTTTTTGTAAATTTTTCTTTGTACAAATTCTGTTTTCTTCTTGTTTGGATCCCTGAATATTTTTTATTTTTTATTTTTTATTTTTTTTTGGGTTCGAATCAAAAGCCAGAGCAATGGAGATTGCTAAGCTTCCAACATAGCTGAGCTTGTTGGAGTTTTTTTTTATTATTATTATGAAAAATATACAAAGAAGGGTTGCTTCTGACGCAAGGAAAGAGTATAAATAGGGGGGTCACCATATCCTTGGTAAACGGTTGACAGTTACAATTTAAAATTAGACCAATGATTTTGGGGTTTGTGGTAAAAAAAAAAAAACATTATCCCAATTCGGTAGAAAATATATAACCTCGCTTAATTACCATTATGAATTAGGTCAACTTATAATTCGAATCACATTGAATATGTATGAACATTTTCTAGAATCGGGTCCATACTCTGGGTACCAAAGACAACAATTTAAATGGAATTTAATATTCAATTTAAAATCTTTTTAGATGTGTCAATATATATGATTAGGTTAAGATATTTTGGAATATCCGATCGCATTACCGAATTCGAGTCTTTGGATAACGGATTAAAAACCCCAAATCTGATTTTTTGTGCAACTATACATACTATTAAGAGACATGGATTTTTTTTTTTACTAATAACATAATTTTCTTTAATTTCGCTAAAAAAACATAATTTTCTTTAAAAAAAGATATCTCTTGCCTGTAGCATAATTTTCATGCATTTCTTATTTTCTATAGTCATGCAATATATATATATTTTTTTTTGTGAAAAATACAAACGTCCCGGTTAATAAAAAAGGCAAAGTTGTGGTATGTATGCGATTCGCCTACGTTCAGTTATAAATTAAAGAGTTTTAAAGGTAATCATAACCATTTGTTAACTCAGTTAAGCCCTCTTGAATTGTATATATTTATTCTTCTTGACCCATCAGTAAGACTATAACAGTGTGAGACCAATTAATAATGGCCGGTTTGATTTAGTTTCATCCGCTGAAATGCATATTTCCCGGTTATTTATCCGGTTTAGGTTTCTTTTGTTGGTTGCAACTAAATATATCGTTCACATTAATTAATTTATTTATTTTTATAACATATCATGATCTATAGCTGTATTAATATCATCTTAGGTCAAGTTTCACATTTTCTCTCGTGTATATATATATAAACCAACAAGGAGAATAAAACCATAGAGAATATATAGGGACGTAGACATCGGTATATGCGATAATGCAATATATTATTCATTAGGGTAATAGGAATATTGCATCGAAAAGGTTACATATTTAATGTTAAATAATCGCTCGGCATTTCCCTTCCTTATTAGAGAAAAAAAAATAAATAAAAAAAATAATAGATTAACTCATGGCTCATTCGTCTGTTGTTTGAGAGTTTAAGCCTTCAACCCAACCAAATGCTTCAAGTACGGACGGTTCAGTGACCTGAATCCATCTTCGCTGGCCAACACTGACCTCCTCTGGTGATGAGCCTTCTTCTTCTTCTTCCCGTGCACGTCCACCTTCCCCGAGGCCGAGGCTGAGGCCGAGAATTCAGCTTTACCTCCCGCCCCGAACCCCGGAATCAAGCCTCCGAACCCGGGAATCAAGCCTCCCAACTGGCCTCCGAATCCGAAATGGCCTGAGATACGGAGAAATATTCGAGAAGATTAATCAAATATCGATCGTAGTGTCTCTATATATATATGACAATATTACTGAAACTCTGTATGTGTATATATATACCTCCGACGGCGACGTGCTTCTTGGCGGCAATCTCGACAGCGGAGTCGATGTAACCGTTGAAGCACTTCTTGAAAGATCCCAAGACAGCGGTGAACTCCTTCTGCTCTCGGACAGAGAGCTTGGCTCCGGCCTTGAACTGATGCCTGGCAGAGATCTCGATGATCTTAGAGGGGATGACGTGGAATCCGTGGATCATGCCGTCGTAGTTCTTCCTCAGGCTGATAGATGCCTTGCCTTGCGCACCGAATCCCATCTGGATGGCCATAAGGGCGTGGCTCATGGCGGCAAACTTAGCCTTCCATATGAGAGAGGCCGGCCCGCTCAGGGCGAAAGCAAAGTCCCCGCGCTTGGAGAAGCTGGAGAGGAAGGAGTTGTAGCCCTTGCAGACGGAGAATATCGACCCCAGCTCGGGGAACTTCATCGCGGAACTCGCCTTGAACTCTATCATCTTCGAAATCTCGAAGAAGGGGACGGTCTTGAGCTGTTCCACGGTGCAGGGAGGAGAGTACTTGGCCTTGACGGGCTTCTCGTGGGCGAAGGCGGAGGCCACGGCAAGGGCGAAGGTTAGAGAGAACAACAGAGAAATCCTTGCCATGGTTGAATTGGTGGGGGGAACTATTGAAACGAAAAGGGTAAAAAAACCAACTATAGGAATACAAGAAAAGATATGAAGGGATTGCGAATTGGTACGTAGGGTTTGGAGCCCTTTATATAAGTTTTTTCATGCGCCTAATAATAGTAAACTCTGCAGGGGACCAAGAGAGATTGATGGACGTCCGTTTATTCATTGTACTCAGATTTTGGAATCAGTCAGGACCGGTTTGAACGGCTATCTGTTAAAAAATGGAACCCATATTTAGAGAATTTTTGTTTGGCAATATTTATTTTATTTTAAATTTGGTATATTATATTATATCATATTATACGGTGTATATATATGTAAGATCTTGTAGCTAAGCTTATATGATGGTAGCAAGTACACAAGTTTATATTCATGTGTGAATGTCGTACCATAATTTCTTACTATGTGTATATATATATATATTCGTTTGCATGTTTAACAGCTTTATATATACATGTTTAATTTGTGTAGAATTTACTAACAAGAAACCAACATAATATTAATAAAAAAAAATTTCTTAATATTTTGGATAACAAGGAAACTTAAGTGAAAGAAAGAAACGGATTTGTAAGAGGATGAAATCCAGGTGTTTAACATATTTAATGTTGAATTCTGTCTCTGTTTTAAAGGTCGAAGTCTCTACTCGCTTCAGAGGGTATGAGGTTTATATACTCTGCTCTCTCTCAGGTATAGGAACATGGTGAAGGGGAAGGGAGAATAGATTTGCGTTTGTCGTATCTCTTTCTCTCTCGTGTGGCGCCGAAACCTTCAAGGTCCGTCAATGGTGAACGGAACATCAAATTCCCGCCGTGAGTAGGGCTTGGCAAGTGCCGAGCACGCATATGGTGTCTTTTTACTTTCTGTTTGATTCTCTTTCTTCCTTGTTTAGTTCCTGATCTGAATTGTGGGCTTAGCTGCTAGAATTCTAGGTTAGTTCGAATAGAGTTCGGCTGAGGTTCCACCACTGGACGCTAGGTGTTTGATCATTTGTCTGAGAGAGAGATATATAATCTCACATTTAACTTTTTCAAAAGGGATTGCAATGTGAACACATCCGAAAGAAAATTGCATCCGGTAGAAGTTACCGAATCGGGAAGAAAAGAAAGATAAACAAAAATCCCGTCAATGGGTCTCATTTCTCTATAAATGCATGAGCTTTTTTCTTCGCCCCGCATAGATTTACATACAAACTGTATGTTTGTATACAGTGTTATTACCGGCGCTAATCGGCACAAAGGTCTATATAGTAACCTATAGCCGATTCGAGTTTTATTTACATCTGAAAATTAAATTCTATGGACTATATATATATATAATATAGTGTTGGTACGTCGTTCTTGGCGATTAGTGAATGAAATTAGCTAGCAGCACTCCTCATCGGCCATCGGCCTTTCTGTTGAGTGAGTCACTGAGAGGAAGACTGAGTCTTGGTGGAAGATTGCGCCTCACTCTCCACGGCCGTTTCCACGAATTGGGTGGTCACTTGTTCCCACCTTGTGATTGTCTCCTTGAACACTTTCTGTTGGGTTTGTGTAACAGTGACCGCTCCCTCTTGCTTGCTCTCGTTCTCCTTCACCACATTTTTGGTGACTTCTTGCAATGCGTTCAGAGTCTTCATCATCTCTTCTTGATAGCTCTGCATGGCGTTCTTCGTCTGCAGTATACACACAAGAAATAAAACAGCACTTTGTTACTATTATCATCAGAAACATCATGGAGTTCGTTCACTTGTCAAAGTTTTGTAGCTCACCTCTTGTGATTTGCTCATCCTGGATTGGACGAGTTGCATGGCATTAGAGAGTTTTGAGGCTATGGTTATCATCTCAGACATGTAGGATCGAGGGTTTTTCTTGGCAGCCGTTGAGGAGATGGAACATGCGTATTTCATGTAAACCTTCATCTTCTCGAAAAAGGACTTGAACTCCTCAGTCTGCGGGCACTTCTTCTCGAGGTTTATGATGAATCCCATCACTTGGTCGGAAGTGTTACCATCAATGCTTGAGGCACTTTCTTTACTCTCCGTTTTGCTACTTTCGGCAGCAACGGCCTCACCACTTCCTTTAGTATCAAGTGTGTTGTTACCATTGGAGGATCCTTCGACACCTCCTTTGTTATCTGTTGTCTTATCTTTAGCAGAATCTTTGTCTCCATTAACCTCGACCGATGCATCTTTCGAGGAATCGGCTTTTGATGATTCTTTTTTCGCGGAATTTGCGCTTCCTCTCGGTGTCTCTGTCGTCTGAGCCTTCCCGGAAGTTTTTTCGTCTCCTTTCTCTGCATTCATGGAAGCTTCACTGCCTCCGTTGACGTTGACAGAAGAACTGTGGCTGCTTTGAGACTGAGATGAAGATTGTGAGCTGCTCTGTACCATTGTCTTAACGACACGGGTAATGACTTGTTCCCATTTGATGATCCTGTCTTTGACTGCTTGCTTTTGCTCTTCAGTTAGTTCCATGGATTCATCGATCTTGGCCTCCTTACGTCTGTTCAGGAACTTACTAGCGATGGATTGGACCGAGCCAACGACGTTCATGGCTTCTCTTTGTTCGCTTTTCAGGGCCATCTCCGCCTCTCTTGATTCGCTTTTACGTGCAGCGAATGAAGAAATGGCCTGGAAGAGGCTACCAGCCTTGGCTTTCATGTCAAACTCAATATCCTTAGAGCCTCTCCGTCTGAGAACCTGAGAGATGGGGCAGACGTATTTGGAGAAAGCCTTGAGCCTCAGGAAGAACTCTTTGAACTCTTGAGTTTTCGGACATTCTTTCTCGAGGTTGAAAGCGAATGACATCACTACTTTGACAGTGTAAGGCTCCACATCCTTCACTGTCTTCGGCTCTTCGATGTTCGGTAAGAACGTGGGCGAAACTATGTCCAGGAGGGCCCCCGAGACGAAGAGGACGGCGAAGCAGGAATAGAGATAAGTTCTTGCCATTGTTGATTAGAGAAATAGATGAAACAATGAATGAATGAGTGAATGAATGAATATGATTCGGTGTTCTTTGATTGGGGATTTATAGATATGTTAAGAGTCTATCTTTAGATTTTAGAACCATAGAAACAAAAGCTGATGACTTTGAGAAATTGATGGGTTGAGCTCAAAAAAATTAGCAAAGGCTTCGTGTGGTTCACAATCTCATCTTTAGCAATCAATGAGATGGGAGGCTCAGGAAATAATGAAATAATTACAATTAATTAAAATTTAAAAAGTTTTTCTTCTTCCTAGAAGAAGTTAAGACCATATATAAATATATGCACCCCTTTCTCCGGATTCTTGAAAAAAAGTTTAATAGTAATCCTTATAATTGTTTGAAGAATTCTAAAATTCTAAATTTTAATTCTAATTTGTGATTCAAGTTGGAGATGAAATACGAACCAATTTTAGAAAGTGGATTTGATAAATATATATCACTAAAAAGTAAGAATTATAATTCGTTGAACCAATTTATTGAGTCCGGTTCAATAACCAAGCCGAGCAAAACATATAATCTAACCGGTTTTTGAATTCAATGGACCCAATTTCTGACCGTTAACATGTATACCGAAAATGCCCTCCGCCGACTCGTGGTCAAAGTATAAAGAAGAGGGTTTTGCTCTCAATTGTCATTTCCCTCATTCCCATCCTCACCGCACTCTCCAATGGCGATGAAATCTGCCGACTTTCGTCTTTGCTTTCTTGCGAGTCCCTTTCCTCATTTCTTGGCACTTTTGCTACCAATGTTTCTGTTTCCCCACTACTAACCAGTACGCTTGCCCCATCCAGTGAACCCCAGAGGCAGAAAACCTAGTTTACCTCTGTTTATCCATCGATTACACAATTTTCTTCAGCGTTTCGAGCTCTTCCGGGACAACACGTCGCTGATTCTTTTCCGACAATTCTGGTCGACCTTGCTTTTTCCGCTGATCGGTACCCGATACCGACACGATCCGGGTCTGAATCCTACAGTTTAAGAAGTATTGCTTCAAGGTCATATGTTTCTGATTCTCTTCTTTGTTGGGCTTTCTTTTTGAGTTGCTTTAATGTTCTAAAATTGTTGTCGTTTGTTGATCTTGCATTCACTGGGAGCATGTTCTGGTTCTTGAATGTTATTTTAGAACGCATGTAGTGCTCATCTTACGACGATGGCCATGGTTTCTGCTGATTCTTCTCCGAAAATTCTGGTCGACTTTGCTTTTTTCTGCTGATCAGAACCCGATACCGACACGATTCGGGCCTGAATCCGACAGGTTATGAAGGATTGTTGCAAGGTCATATCTTTCTGATTATCTTCTTCTTTGTTGGGCTTTCTTTTTGAGTTACTTTAATGTTCTAAAATTGTTGTCGTTTGTTGATCTTGCACTCACTGGGAGCATGTTCTGTTTCTTGAATGTTATTTTAGAATGCATGTAGTGCTCATCTTACGACAATGGCCATGATTTCTGAAAATTCCAACTTTATTATCTTTATAGGGAGTGCAGGACAATCATATGCATGCTTCTTGATCCCAACCATGAACGGCCCGACACATCAAACCTATAGAACCAGAAAGATTGGCGTCTCATTGACATTTCAACGTTCTCTGAAAATCTGTGATGCATGACCATACTGTTGTGAGTCCATCGATACAATCAATCTGATGCGTTGTGAGTGTAGTTTTTCCATCTAAATGATATGGCTCATCTTATAACCATGGACCATGGTCATATTTTCTCAAAATTCTAACTTTATTGCCTTTGTGAAGCGGCAGAATAAGCTGTCCAAAGTGGCTCTCAGCTGATTATACTTTCAGGCCGCTCTTATGTAGCCTGGTAAATTGTTTTCTAATTTTGGCCTCCTACAAGGAGTCTCACAGTTTCTGGAATTTTGTTGCTTTCAGGAGCCAACCCAGTCTGCTTTTACAATAATGTTTTTGAGTCGTTGTTGCAGCCCATCAACATGTTGTTCAGAACGGCTTGCGAATGTCAGATTGCATAGGGTCTGATCTGATACAACTCAGATCTTTAGCGAACAATAGTTTTCTTGTTTGATTGGATATGCTGCAAGGTTTTTTTTTTCTCTCTCTCTCATTTTGTTAAAAGATAGTGGTGTCACTGAAGGCTCTTTCATTGCTATCTACTGCTGTATCTACGTTGTATGCTTGAATGTTTGGTAACTCATGAACTGAAAGTTTCTGCTTCTTTTCAGTTTTCCAACTCGTGGCCAAGTGATAGTAGAGGATGAAATTCTGTAGCCGAAGCCTACTTGGTTGACTCTTGATCATTAAGTTCTTTGAATTCCACTCCGTTACTTATCTTGCAGGTAGCGAATGCTTCCATTTCCTCGTTGTGGGCTTTGCTTGATAGATTTTCAAAATCTATTCTTGTTATGTATAAAATACCGACTTAATATTTTTTTGGTTATTGTGTTGCTCAGATAATTGAGATATGCAATTCAAGAAAGGAGGTTGTTGATCTTGCATTCACTGCGTAAGATTGGTTGACAGACCTTTTGACGAGGTGAGAAATACACACTGCCAGGAGCCCCGTGTATTACTCTCATCTTCTCCAGTTGGCAAGAGAATAACTGTCTTTACGGCTAAGCGGTTAGAAAACTTTGGGTTAATCGAATTAAGGCCTCTAGGTAAAGATCCCTGAAGTTTGTTGTGTTGTGATCAATACACGTAGACAGCCATTTATGTTCATGCGTAATGGATCCTTGCTACTCGGGTTTGAATTTACATGGTCAGTGTTCATTTGAATGCAGTGCAACAAACTCTCGTTATGGAAGAAACTTGAACTGGCAATTCTGGAGACCCTTTGTGGAGTGCTGTTCAAAGGTACGTTCCTTTAAAAAAAAATTCTTATATTGCATTTATCTGATTACAGAAGCTACAACAACTCCCATATGAGACCCCTTTATCAGTTCTGATACCCTAATATTAGAGTGTCCATATATTGATGGCTTGGTTATCATGGTTATTTCCGGTATTTGGTTAATTAATCACACCCGGTTATAGCTAGTTGACATAGTGACACGTTTTATTCCTTTATTCTTTCTGTTTATGAATTTGTTTTTCTGTTGTGCATTCTGTTTTCATTTTTTATTCCTTTATGAGTTATATATAAATGAGTGTATAGTGGAGATGTGAAGTGAATATAGAAAATTAGAAAATCTTTCCAAAATGTTCCTCCCTTTTTCGTTTCCATATTGTATCAGAGAGTGAATGTTCTTCTGGTCACTCTGCGATTTCGATTTCATCTTCTTCAAATTCTTCCTTTGATTCTGTCTTTCCTGCTCTATGGCGTCTTCGCCTGGGCTTGAGGAGTCCATTCCCAGCTCCATTCCTTCAAATTTGAGCACTGTTCCAGTGAACCCTAGAGATCCTTATTCTGATCCTTTGTTCCTGCATGTTACAGATTCATCCAGCGTTTTTCTTGTTTCTGAGAAACTTCGTGGCGAGGTGAACTCACGAGCTGTTCGCAAGGCGCTCTTAGCTAAGAATAAACTTGGATTTATTCTCGGTACTCTGCTGCAACCTCTGGACAATGAGGAGGACTCAAGTTCGTGGTTGCGTTGTAATGCCATGGTATGCACTTGGTTGATTAACTCCATTTCTCCTGATATTCACAGTCTGATTTCTTATATGAAAGATGCTCATGAGATCTGCCAACATTTACAGAACTATTTTTTTAGGACAAATGTTTCTAAGATATACACTATTCAGCACCAAATTGACTGCCTATATCAGGGTTCTCTAGATCTGAATTCGTATTTCACAAAACTAAATGCGTTATGGGAAGAATTGAAGCACTATGAGCCTTTACCTGTCTGTTCTCGTAAGGGTTGCACGTGTAGGGGTTGTAAGTGTCGTATTGTTGATCAGTGATCTACTTTGTTTGCAAGAAGGAATGTTGTGCGGTTCTTAATGTGTTTGAATGAATCATTCTCTGCTGCTAGACGCCAGATCTTGATGTCTGACCCCTTACCTGACATTACTAGAGTTTACAACCTTGTTGCTCAGGAAGAACAACAGAAACTGACTGTTTCTTATGTTCCTGATACAGAAGAACAACAGCAACTGAATGCTTCTTCATACTCTTTTCCTTTTTTAACCCCACCTCCTAAAACACCTAAACCATCTGATGGAGTCCCACATCGACCGTAGGGAGGAATCTGGGACCTCTATATGAGGGAGGGTCAACCCTCCACCCTTGAGCTAGCTTTTGGGTGGAGTTAGGGCCCAAACTCTATCAGTTGGTATCAGAGCCTCTCTCTACGGGCCGGTGTGGGCTTTGTCCCAACTCTGGCGGGCCTTTGACCCGGTGGGCCAGCGGTCCGGTTGGGAGAGGAACCCAAAGAGAGGGAGTAGCTGCCAACGACCGTGAGACCGTCAGCGCCGTGGCCGTCGTTGTCTAAAGGGGCGGTATTGATGGAGTCCCACATCGACCGTAGGGAGGAATCTGGGACTTCTATATGAGGGAGGGTCAACTCTATCAGTCCTAACTCCACCCAAAAGCTAGCTCAAGGGTGGAGGGTTGACCCTCCCTCATATAGAGGTCCCAGATTCCTCCCTACGGTCGATGTGGGACTCTATCAATACCGCCCCCTTTAGACAACAACAACCACGGCGCTGACGGTCTCACGGTCACTGGCGACTTCTCCCTCTCTTTGGGTTCCTCTCCCGACCGGACTGTTGGTCCACCGAGCCGAAGGCCCGCCAGGGTTGGGACGAAGCCCACACCGGCCCGTAGAGAGAGGTTCTGATACCAACTGATAGAGTTTGGGCCTTAACTCCACCCAAAGGCTAGCTCAAGGGTGGAAGGTTGACCCTCCCTCATGTAGAGGTCCCAGATTCCTCCTGACGGTCGATGTGAGACTCCATCTTCCTCAACCACTTCAAATCGCCCTCCCTTATTTGTACACATTGTGGAATGTCATGCCACCTTATTTCACGTTGTTTTCGCCTTCATGGATATCCAATGGGTCATAAGTCTAACCCAGGTTGGAATCCTCATTCACCTTCTTCTTCCAAGCCTAGACCTCAGTCTTCTGACAGAGTTAATTTGGTTCAGATTCCATTGACACTATTGCTATGGCAAAGTCTGTTGTTGCTGGCCATACAGGACGTAATACTTTAGATCAGGTACACTCGCTTCTATCTCAACTGCTCTCTCACCAAAAGGGTTCGAGCTCTACCTCCATAGATTCAAATTTTGCACTATCCTCATCAGGTATTTTGCCTATTTTTCATTCTGTTTTCACCACATTTGCTTCTAGACTTACATTTCCATATGTTGTTTGGATTTTAGATACTAGTTCTAGTACACATGTTTTTTGTGATTTAGCTTTGTTTTCTTAAGTACATGACATACTTACAGTAGCTGTTTCTCTCCCAAATCGGACTTCCATCCCTGTCACTCAGGCTGGAACTGTTATCATTTCACCTTCTGTCTTCTGTTTTGTTCATACTTTTCATTACAATCTTCTTAGTGTCAGTTGTCTAACTCAACATTCTTCATGTTCTGTGCATTTTTTTCGTGACTCTTTCCTCATTCATGACCTTACTTAGGGATTGATGATTGACAAGGGTAGACAGATCCAAAATCTTTATATCTTTGAGATGTTGCACACATCTCCCACATCGGTTTCTCTGTCCAATCCATTATGCATTTCTCTTTCTGCTACCACCTTTGATCTTTGGCACCACCATCTTGGTCACCCTTCTGACATACGTGTTCAATCTCTTGACAAGTCTTCACATCTCACCTTCGCTTCTTCAGCAAATAGCCCTTCTTCATGTCTCCTCCAGCTAAGCAAAAGCATGTGTCATTTCCAGATTCTTCTCATGTTTCTAAATTTCCTTTTGAGTTACTTCATGTTGATGTTTGGGACCCTTGTTCTGTAGATGATCACCATTTTTTTCTTTCTATTGTTGATGACTACAGTCGTTGTACATGAGTTTACCTTCTAAAATCAAAAAGTGATGTTTTATAGAAATTTCCCGAGTTCATTTCTTTTGTTGAAAATCAATTCAATGCTTCTATCAAGTGTGTTATGTCTGATAATCCCCCTAAACTTGCATTCAAATCTTTGTTTGCAAAGAAAGGGATTCATCATCAGTTTTCATGCCCTACACTCCTCAACAAAATTCAATTGTTGAGAGAAAACATCAGCACATACTTAATGTTAATAGAGCTCTTCTTTTTCAATCACATGTTCCTTGTCTTATTGGGGTGACTACATTCTTACCTCTGTCTATTTGATCAATAGAACCCCTTCACCTATTTTGCAAAACCAAATTCCTTTTGAAATGCTCACAGGCATTTCTCTTACTTATTTCCATTTGCGTGTCTTCGGTTGTCTCTGTTACATGTCTACTTTGACCAAAGACAAACATAATTCAGTCTTCGGACTATGTCTGCGGTTTTCTTGGATATCCGCATGGTGTCAAAGGTTATAAAGTGTTTGATCTTGAGTCTAATGCTGTGATTATTTCTAGGAATGTAGTTTTTCACGAGACAACATTTCCTTTCAAAATTGATTCTTCATCAACCAGCCTCAGATTCCTTTCCAAGTCTTGTTTCTCCCTTCCTTTTTTAGTCTGTTTCTCCATGTGCTTTACCTTCTGTCCATGCCACCGACTCTTCTTCCATTGCACATGACACTATCACTCATCCTTCTTCTTCTCCTTTGGTCTCTTTTGAAACAGATACACATAGTATTGACACTGATTTTTCAAAAAACATTTCTATAACATAGCGTTTGTGTAAAATCACTACCTATCTTTTAGATTACCATTGTTATCTCATTCATCATAAACCACCTCCACCTTCTACTCCTGCCACTCCTTACCCTTTATCAGCTTGTTTATCATATGACCATTTATCCCTTGCGTATCGAAACTTTGCTCTAAATATTACCACCGAACCTGAACCTCAATCATATACCCAAGCTGCAAAATTTGATTCATGGAGAAAGGCAATGACACTTGAGCTGGAGGCTTTGACTAGAACGAACACTTGGTCCATTAGCTCTATTCCTGTCGGCAAGAATGCAATAGGCTGCAAATGGGTCTTTAAGACCAAGTACAATGCTGATGGTTCTATTGAAAGATACAAGCCTAGATTAGTGGCTAAGGGTTACACTCAATTGGAAGGGGTGAATTATTTAGAAACCTTTAGCCCTTTAACCAAAATGACCCCTGTTAGATTATTGTTGGCATTGGCTGCGAAAAATGATTGGTTGTTGAGCCAAATGAATGTTAGCAATGCTTTTTTGAATGGAGATTTAGATGAGGATATATACATGAAGCTCTCTCCTGGCTATTCTGATCTTCAGGGTGAAAAAGTGTCTTCTGATTAGGTCTGTAAGTTGCAGCTGTCTCTCTATGGCTTGAAGCAAGCCTCGAGATAGTGGAACCAGAAATTGTCGTGTTCTTCTGGATGCAGGCTTTGTCCAGACTCAATCTAACAATTCTTTGTTCGTTAAGAGATATGGTTCTAACCTTGTAGTTGTTCTTGTTTATGTTGATGACCTGTTGTTTACAGGAAATGATTCAGAGATGATTTCTGCCCTAATGTCGATTTTACACTCAAATTTTGAGATCAAGGATCTGGGACAGTTGCATTACTTTCTTGGCTTGGAGATTGCTCGATCTAAACGAGGTATTTCTGTTTGTCAGCGTAAATATACCTTGGAGTTGCTTGAAGATTTTGGTATATTAGGCTGTAAACCCATTGCTATTTGCAACTCCCATAGACACTAGAGAAAAAAGCTCGGTCTTGAATCTGGAAGCTACTTGATGATCCTTTGATATATAGGAAGCTCACCGGTAAGTTATATATCTCAGTCTCACAAGGCCAGACATAAGCTTCTATGTCACCAAATTAAGTCAATACATGTCAGCTCCCAGAACAGCTAATCTACAGGCCGCATTTCGTGTTTTGCCTTATCTGAAAACAAATCATGCACAGGGTCTGTTTTACTCAGCTACATCTGATACTCGACTGAGTGCCTATACCGATGCCGATTGGACATTATGTCCCGATTCACGCAGATCTGTAACAGGTTTCTATGTGTTCGTTGGGAACTCTCTAGTCTCATGGCAATCGAAGAAACAACAGACCATTTCTCGGAGTAGTGCAGAGTCCGAGTATAGAGCGATGACTCAAACATGCTGTGAGTTAGTATGGATTCATACTTTGTTGTTTGAGTTGGGAATCACTTCTCAATAGCTTGTTTCATTGTATTGTGATAATCTTTCGGCTATACATATTGTTAACAATCCCACGTTTCTTAAACGGACGAAACACATTGAGTTGGACTGTCATTTTGTGCACCTACACATCAAATCAGGTTTTCTCACACCTGTGCATGTTTTGGCATCAGATCATTTGGCATATATTGACTAAGCCCATTGCGGTTAATCATCTTCGTCATTTATCATTCAAGATGGGAATACATAGTTTGTATTCTACATCTTGAGGAGGAGTATTAGAGTCCATATTTTGATGGTTTGGTTATCATGGTTATTTTTGGTATTTGGTTAATTAATAATGCCCGGTTATAGCTAGTTAACTTAGTCACACGTTTTATTCCTTTATTCTTTCTGTTTACGAATTTGTTTTTCTGTTGTGCATTTTGTTTTCATTTTTTATTCCTTTTTGAGTTGTATATAAATAAGTGTACAATGGAGATGTGAATATAGAAAATCAGAAAATTTTTCCAAAATGTTCTTCCCTTTTTCGTTTCCATACCTAAGACCTTAACCCGGCCTTAATTAGGATCAAAGCTGGTGCTGTATTTTGTGATGTAGATCCACAAAATTCATTTTCTTCTTCATCTACAATTATCGTTATAAAGTTAACACGTTTTATAATGAAAATAGATTGGTTACATGTAAATTGGGCTTTTATAGTTTTCTCTCCGTTGGGCTTTGATGAGAAACAACCTTCATTATTATTAGGGATGTCAATTAAGTCCGGAGTCTGAAACCCAGCCCGGATCCACCCGAAAATAATAAGGATATGGCCTAAAAAATATAGGCTCATTAAATTTTGGGTTTTCGGGCCTCAGACTAAATGGGTTGCAGGCCAGTCGGGCCGGGTCGGTCGGGTCTCGAATCGAGCTTGAGGCCCATTTAATTTTTTTCTAACTCTTTTTTTTAAACCAAAGTTTTACCTCTCTATAATTATCTTAACTTCTTTTTAACCATATTACATCATTGGATAATCTTCTTTTGTATTATTTTTTTTACTAAATCAAACCTAACACTTACTATTTGATTATATATTTTTTGTTTTATATTTTTTTTCTCACTCTATATTGGTTTTATTGCGTACTAGTAGGTTGGATTTTGTTCTTCGATGCACATAAACAAACACATGTGCAATATTTATATTATATATGTGTATCTTTTAACCAAATTACGAAATTTTATCTTGGATCCAATTAACAATTTATATTTTTGAAAATGTAGAAACTTTTAAATATATATATTTTTAAACCTTTATTTACATATGAATATATTGATTCTTTTTCTATATGTTTCAAATTAATTACATCATATAATTGTCTTTTTTATACTATGTTTGCTTTTTCTAAAATATTTTACATTATTATTATTATTATAGAAAAAAAATTATTTGATAAAAAAAAACCCGAAGCTCGGCCCGAACCCGCCCGAAACCCTATAGAGCCGGGCTCCGGACCATCGATCCTAGATCCGAAAAATAAATGGGCGAGCCGGCCCGGCCCGAATTGAATCCGACCCGAATTCGGCCCAGCCCGCCCATTTTACACCCCTAATTATTATTGTATAGTACAATATCATAAATAGGTCCAAAACAGTTGTCCATTTCCTTTGTTTTCTATTTCCATAAAATTTTAAAAATTTCCTTCATTATTATTGTATATTTCACGTTCTTTTCTAAGAAAAATTACTTGAGAATTCCAAATATAACAGCTTGCATTATTATTAGTGTTTGATTAAATTTCTTCGCTATTTTTTGAGCCTCCCATTTCATTGATTGCTAATTTTTTTGAGCTCAACCCATCAATTTCTCAAAGTCATCAGCTTTGGTTTCTATGGTTCTAAAATCTAAAGATAGACTCTTTACATATCTATAAATCCCCAATCAAAGAACACCGAATCATATTCATTCATTCATTGTTTCATCTATTTCTCTAATCAACAATGGCAAGAACTTATCTCTATTCCTGCTTCGCCGTCCTCTTCGTCTCGGGGGCCCTCCTGGACGTAGTTTCGCCCACGTTCTTACCGAACATCGAAGAGCCGAAGACAGTGAAGGATGTGGAGCCTTACACCGTCAAAGTAGTGATGTCATTCGCTTTCAACCTCGAGAAAGAATGTCCGAAAACTCAAGAGTTCAAAGAGTTCTTCCTGAGGCTCAAGGCTTTCTCCAAATACGTCTGCCCCATCTCTCAGGTTCTCAGACGGAGAGGCTCTAAGGATATTGAGTTTGACATGAAAGCCAAGGCTGGTAGCCTCTTCCAGGCCATTTCTTCATTCGCTGCACGTAAAAGCGAATCAAGAGAGGCGGAGATGGCCCTGAAAAGCGAACAAAGAGAAGCCATGAACGTCGTTGGCTCGGTCCAATCCATCGCTAGTAAGTTCCTGAACAGACGTAAGGAGGCCAAGATCGATGAATCCATGGAACTAACTGAAGAGCAAAAGCAAGCAGTCAAAGACAGGATCATCAAATGGGAACAAGTCATTACCCGTGTCGTTAAGACAATGGTACAGAGCAGCTCACAATCTTCATCTCAGTCTCAAAGCAGCCACAGTTCTTCCGTCAACATCAATGGAGGCAGTGAAGCTTCCATGAATGCAGAGAAAGGAGATGAAAAAACTTCCGGGAAGGCTCAGACGACAGAGACACCGAGAGGAAGCGCAGATTCCGCGAAAAAAGAATCATCAAACGCCGATTCCTCGAAAGATGCATCGGTTGAGGTTAATGGAGACAAAGATTCTGCTAAAGATATGACAACGGGTAACAAAGGAGGTGTTGAAGGATCCTCCAATGGTAACAACACACTCGATACTCAAGGAAGTGGTGAGGCCGTTGCTGCCGAAAGTAGCAAAACGGAGAGTAAAGAAAGTGCCTCAAGCATTGATGGTAACACTTCCGACCAAGTGATGGGATTCATCATAAACCTCGAGAAGAAGTGCCCGCAGACTGAGGAGTTCAAGTCCTTTTTCGAGAAGATGAAGGTTTACATGAAATACGCATGTTCCATCTCCTCAACGGCTGCCAAGAAAAACCCTCGATCCTACATGTCTGAGATGATAACCATAGCCTCAAAACTCTCTAATGCCATGCAACTCGTCCAATCCAGGATGAGCAAATCACAAGAGGTGAGCTGCAAAACTTTGACAAGTGAACGAACTCCATGATGTTTCTGATGATAATAGTAACAAAGTGTTGTTTTATTTCTTGTGTGTATACTGCAGACGAAGAACGCCATGCAGAGCTATCAAGAAGAGATGATGAAGACTCTGAACGCATTGCAAGAAGTCACCAAAAATGTGGTGAAGGAGAACGAGAGCAAGCAAGAGGGAGCGGTCACTGTTACACAAACCCAACAGAAAGTGTTCAAGGAGACAATCACAAGGTGGGAACAAGTGACCACCCAATTCGTGGAAACGGCCGTGGAGAGTGAGGCGCAATCTTCCACCAAGACTCAGTCTTCCTCTCAGTGACTCACTCAACAGAAAGGCCGATGAGGAGTGCTGCTAGCTAATTTCATTCACTAATCGCCAAGAACGACGTACCAACACTATATTATATATATTTATAGTCCATAGAATTTAATTTTCAGATGTAAATAAAACTCGAATCGGCTATAGGTTACTATATAGACCTTTGTGCCGATTAGCGCCGGTAATAACACTGTATACGAACATACAGCTTGTATGTAAATCTATGCGGGGCGAAGAAAAAAGCTCATGCATTTATAGAGAAATGAGACCCATTGACGGGATTTTTGTTTATCTTTCTTTTTTTCCAGATTCGGTAACTTCCACCGAATGCAATTTTCTTTCGGATGTGTTCACATTGCAATCCCTTTTGAAAAGGGGCATTATCAAAAATGCCTTTAAAATGCTACATGTACTTCATGGAGTACCCTCCTCTCAAAAAAAAAAAAACTCCTTCACATGTACCCTCCCCATATGTACAATTTCTATTACACCCTTATATTATAAAACAAATAAAATTAAAAATAAATCTAAAAAACAATAATTTTCCTCCTAAAAAGTAGTGTCGATTTCTCTCTCCTCAGTATCACTTTTCATTCTCTCTCCTCCGGCATTTACATTCTCTCTCTCCTCCGTCTGCTCTCTCCCTCCGTTTGCTCTCTCTCTTCCAATTTGAACCCTATCT